AGTAATACAAAAGAAAAAGAGTAATTTCAGAACAACAGCGGAATCATTTAAATTTTTAAGGATTTTATTCTTATATATCTAGCCTCAAGAGGATTCCTCTAAGATTAAGAGAAAAATATTACAAACACATTATTCTTATAGTTAGAGGGATTACATGTTATACGAGTACGTATAATGCAAATCTGATTTATATTTAATATATAAGTTTCCTCATACACAGATTATTTGATCTCTTCTTAAGAGGATTATTATTTATTCTTATTGGTTCTTCATTCTTACTGGTTACACTGGTTAACCCATTAACGCTCAAAAATCCTAAAATATTAGTCTTACTTTGCAACTGTATTTTATGTAGAGAAATTATATTATATAAGGTTGGAATAGCATTTCCTTATGTTTTCCGGCATCAGAATTCGTTTAGATTCACAATAAAATCCAATATGGCGGAATTTTTGGAAAAAAGTCGTGAAAAATCAACAATTTTATTTTTCATAAGCTTGATTTCGTGTCAAAAACTTGTTACTTTGATACAGAGAGACAAGTGTCACATCTTGTCTCAAATCACATCTTGTTGAACTTTCAAGGTATGCATAGGTGAAAATGTTAATTCAAGATGGCTGCCTCAAAATGGCGATTTGAGCGAAAAAAACTTAGAAAATAATGTATTTTTAGAATAACTTCGCAAAATACTAGTATTGAGCATCAATTTAGTATCCAGGGTACTGATTTTAGGATATTTGCCGACAACTAATTCGATATTAGAGAATTTCAAAATGGTGGATCCAAGATGGCGACTAAAAGGCACGAGTAATCGTGAAAATTTCCAGATTTTTATGAATTTTCTTCTATTTTCATATTCATGGATTATTTTCGAGATGTACATACGCGCATATACAGTGGGTGGGTAATTATAAACTTACAAACTTTATGAAAAACATAAAAAACAACGGACGAGAAAAAATAGAAATCGACTACGTAAAGTTTTGAGAAAAGTTGCTAAATAAATGAGAGAATAAACGCTCAGTGGGCATGCGTTGTGGGCATCGCAGGCATGCTACTCCGCACGGCTTGGGCCGGATTGGCAGGCAACAACAGCGGACCGGCGCGCGCCGTTGTTGCCTGTCAATCCGGTCCAAGCTGTGTGGAGTAGCAGGCCTGCGATTCCCACCACTGCCCACTTATGATTTTATTCCCTCATTTATTTAGCAATTTTTCTCAAAACTTTACGGAGTCGATTCCAATTTTTTCCCGTCCGTTGTACTTATCTCAATGTTTTTTATGTTTTTTATAAAGTTTGTAAGTTTATAATTACCCACCCACTGTATATATGCGTATGTAAATCTCGAAAATAATTCATGAATATAAAAATAATAGAAGAAAATTCATGAAAATCTGGAAATTTTCACGATTATTCGTGCCTTTTAGTCCGCCATCTTGGATCCGCCATTTTGAAATTGTCTAATATAAATTAGTTGTCAGCAAATATCCCAAAATCAGTACCCTGGATACTAAATTGATGCTAAATACTAGGATTTTGCGAAGTTATTCTAAAAATACATTATGTTTTAAGTTTTTTTCGCTCAAACCGTCATTTTGAAGCAGCCATCTTGAATTCACATTTTCACATTTTCACTAATGCATACCTTGAAAGTTCAATATTTCTGAGACAAGATGTGACACTTGTCTCTCTGTATCAAAGTAACGTTTTTGACACGAAATCAAACTTATGAAAAATAAAATTGTCGATTTTTCACGACTTTTTTCCAAAAATTTCGCCATATTGGATTTTATTGTGAATCTAAACGAATTCTGATGCCGGAATCTTGTAGAACGACCCCAAAAACTTAAGGAAATGCTATTTCAACCTTATATAATATAATTTCTCTACATAAAATACAGTTGCAAAGTAAGGCTAATATTGTAGGGCTTTTGGGCGTTAATGGGTTAATTTGAAAAATTATTATAATGTATATATAGCGAAAAATAACACATATATATAGATGTATTTATGGCTTCAGTTCTACGGTAAGTAAGCACGAGTGAAATAAGATCATCATAATAAATAAATTTCCAATCAGTTTGTCATGGCTACAAAGATGTTCATCATAACCAATTGTATGAAACATAGTTAAAAGAAAGAATATACTATTCAACTTCTTGCAATGGATTATAAACTATATTTGACGACATATAGAGATAAATTATCTTTGTTATGTTACAGCAACACACATATCTTTTTTGAAAAGCATTCAAAAATATTCGCACAGGGTTATTTTTTTGTTCATATTTGGAGATAGAGTATGATTGAACAAAAGAAGCCGACATATTCAAATCAACATATTCCTCTACATATAAGAGGAAAGTTGATTGATATAAAAGGAAATCCTCTTGAAATAAGAGGAAAACAGAATAATATCGAATAAATTTTAAATAAATGGTTCACTTTAATCGCTTTATCGAAAGAGGAATCCTTTTTCTGTAAAAATGTTTCGCTTAAAATATAAGACTATGGGAAAGATCACTTTACAAATAAAATACTTTTCTAGAGTATAATTATTATTGCGATTTTTTATCTCTAGTATTTGAATATTCGGCTATCTTTATTATTGTCTTTTATGCGATTTTATATATATATATATTTATATTTCACATTGTGGATACTCTACAAGCCCCCAATCGTTGGTTCGTCAACAAACTTGCGAATGTCTTATTTCTTATGGGATATAGTCAATGAAAGAAAGATTACAACATTTTTGCCACAAGGATCTTCACTCTCACAGTGCATTCCAGTGGTATCCAGTGAAGAAATGTAAATGTATGATCAAAAAACAGATGTTTCTGTTCGATATGAACATATCGCGAGAATTATTGGAAAAGAATACAATTAATATCGGACAATATATGGGCAATTAATATTTATAGTAAGCTTTCATAAGCCAGATTACATCATCATTATTTTCATTTTGGGTAGACAGAGAGAATTTGTGTGTGCACGTGTGTGTGTTTTCAAACGCCAAGCTAATAACCGCAAATTTGAGCATCGGCCAGATATTATTCGACCTCTATCGACGGCATTAATTCTGCCGCTTATCCCGATTTCATTGATCAAACCGCTTATGCGCCAGCATATATTTGTCGTGTCGATTCACGTAAAACCGCCTTGCGGGGTGTAAATCGCGCTTACAGTCGAATTCGTCAGGACATCAGACAGCGCCCCGACGCGACGCGGCGCCGTCGCCGGCGAAGTGATCGAATGCGAAAATGCGGACACACTCGCGCACGGTTGCACGCAAAAATTCAGTCCCCGAGCGAAATGCAAAGTTCAAGGTTCCCGCCGAGCGTCGCCGGTCGTGCGAATGATTGCTTCTCGGTCTGTCGAGCAGCGTAATTCGCGAGGAATAACCTGCGGCCCGACATTTACGCGCGTCTCTCTCGTCGCTCACGAACAATAAATTTTGAATCCGCCGTAGCCTCGTTTCCAATGTGGCTGCCGTGGCATCGGTGGCGATCGCGACGGCATCGCACGCAGGAGGGATCGATACCTCGCGGGCCGCTCGCGGGTGACAGGCAGATGTATAAATAGGTAATTCCCAAATAACACGCAGACTGTGTGTGCTCTCGCGCGAAGTCAAACACGAGCGACGAGAACGATCGAAAACGGCCGGTCGAAAATTGCTCGCTCGGATTCACCGTCGGAAGAAATTCGGGATTCGTTGTTAAGCCGGCGAAAGAGAGGAATGATGAAGCTTCCTGTTAAAGGACGCTCTGTGCTTGCTGTTTCTTTTCGCCTCTTAACGGGACGGAAACCAGAACGCGTTTATCGTCCGCGGAGACGGCGGGGGTGCAATTTTGCGCGGAAGGCGGAAAGGCCGGTATCAAAGGAGCGGAAGAAACGCGAGCACCAGTTGATGTTTTCTCTCTCTTCTTCTTCTTCTTTTTCTTTCTTTCTTTTTTTTATTTGAAATAATAGGACACGGCGGCAATATCGTGAAGTTGATGGGTGGCACGCGAACGGTCTGCCTCGCAAAACGGCGAGCACCGCAACGATTTTTCTCAGAAGCGTATTCTCGACGCGGCACAACGGGTGCGCCGCCGCTGTTATTAAAGTCGAAACAGGACGCGGCGTATAAAAATGTTTTTATAGTCCCCGAACAACGCGCTCGAGTTATCAGGTGACCTTAATTTCCAGGGCCGTGCGAGCACGCCCCTCCCGTCGAATGCAATTAGAATTTTTACCAAGACGGCCAATTCCTCGAGGCCCGGCTGTCTCTCTGCGCGGCGCGATAAAGTTCGCGTTGTTGACGTAAATTGATATTAACTCGTCGAAACGGCCAATCTCCCACGTCGACGAACGGGCTTCTATGAAAGCAACAAGGAAGTAATAAATCTTGATAAACCAAACTGCCAAACGTACTACGACTCGTTTATATCAATTTCCAGGATCACTCCCCCCCATTACTCTTTCCAACCTTGAACTTTGCACTCCGGTCGAAATTTCCAGGTAGCATCGATCGGCACGCCCGGTACTTTCCTCTCTGCGTCCGGTATGTTCCCCGGCCCCGAATAAATGTATCTCAAGTACGTGAGGTATGACGTCGCGAAATCAAGCGGAGTGCCTTTTTACTTATCGGCAATTTGCGACTTGGCCGAAAGAGTAAACTCGGAACGGCCATCGCTCGCGCGGAAGCGAAGGCGAGGGGAGTCGCGCGCGCGCGCGCGTGTGTGTGTGTGTGTGTGTACGTGAGCGAAGGAACTATGGTTAAGCTGTTGAAGCGAATCGATATAAATCGACACTTGGGGCTCAGTCACGTGCGCGCCTTTTTTTTGATCGGCCACCCGCTAACTGTCATCGCAAGTCGCAAGGGTAGAAACACGAGAGAGAGAGAGAGAGAGAGGGGGAGAGAGAGAGAGAGAGAGAGAGACGGACATGCGCGATACTCTTCGGCTGCTCGCTCGCACACTGTAGCTGCTAACAACGCAGTTGTGATGGCAACATTCGTGCTGCCGCAGGCTGTACTACAATGTGCCCGTCGGCCGGTGATTGTGAAATCGTCCGGCCTCGGCTGCCAAACGTGGCTTTCGGAATTAATCATCTCGCGATTAACCGCGCTCAATCGGCCGTAGGAACGTTAAACTGCATTTATAGGAACCGCCGCGACGCGGCGTCCGTATTGTTGACATTGCACGTCGCCGTTGCCGCGGCAAATTAAATCGCGCGATTACCGAAGGGGACGACATCGCGTCTCTGTGACGACAAATCGCCAAGTGGACGTTTCTGTGACCCAGCCAGCTGGTGGCGTCAAATACGAGAGCGTCAAAGACTGGATCGGTTAAAAGTTCGTCAAAATACGAAGGACCTGCGCGGAGGAGCCGACGTGGATAAACATTTTTCTCCTGTCGTTGCTCGGAAGACAAGTCTTCCGAGATAATCGTCGGCTTTGACCGCACGAAAGCGCGCGCAGCGGTGCACGCAAATTTGTGAGCGAAAGACCTTGACGAGCAAACTTAATATACGGCAACACTTTAATGACGCTCGAGTCCGCCTGTTGAGCGCGCGAGTCCTCGCGTTCAAAGTTCGAGGAGAAGACTGTGAACTTGACATATCGCGTCACGACCTCTACCTCCACAGGCTGTCGCCGATACAATAAGTAGGCTCGTGCTCGAGATCGCGTCGCTTTTCTCGTTTATCAAAGTCCTCCCGACCTCCGGCTGTTCCGCCCCCATGACATTTTTCGAAAAAGCAATCTCTTATTTAACGAGCGAGGCCAGTAAATAACGACGCGTCGATCGAAAATGTGAACTATGCGCCTGAACGGGAGATGTCGAGGTGACGATCCGCGGACGCTAGAAACGGTGACAAGTCGAGTCAACGGCTCGATCCTGAAGCCCACAAGAGATGCACATCCGGTCGCAACGCTTGGGCGCACGTGGAGTCTTCATGGGCGCGCAGAAGTGGGCGCAGGAGTACGACTCCACGTTCACTAATTTGCACAACATGGTAAAGATTTCGTCGAGTCAATCAGATGTATCTCCTTTCATCGAGACAGATCGCGGCGAGGCGAACGATCGCGGTGAAGGGGGATATTGAAGGGACGAATTTTTTATCGTCCCGTTTTGGCTGTCTGAGAGGCTGAAAATATGATCAAATCGGTCGAGAGATTAACACGCTGATCAACGGTGAATCTCGGCAAAGTTCATTCATAATTGCACATGTGACGATTAACTTGGGACAACCAAGAAAGTTTGTGCCGTGGCCTGATCGATAGAGATAAGTAACAAGTTTCCGCATGTGTCACACATCGGCAAATTCTCTTCTGGTTGAATGAGCTTTCGTTTAAGCATATACGTATAAGCGCACTTTTAATTGATGAAGTGCGCGCATGCGCAGTTTGACGGTGAGAAAATCTACAAACAGCACGGACTTTCTTGGTTAACCTGATATCTCACGATGTTAAAAAATGTTGGCTTACCGAGAGGATAAAATGATCAAGTCGGTAGCGAGAGATTAACATCGAGCGAAAAACACCCTGATCTACCATGAATTTCGTCAAAATTATTTATAATTGCACTCGTGACGATTAACTTGCCGATTGTTAGATAACCAAGAAAGTTTGCGCCGTGAGCGTGATCAATAGACATAAGTAATAAGTTTCCGCAAGTGTCTGTCACACATCGGCAAGTTCTCTGGTAGAATGAGCTTTTGTTTAAGCATACATGAGCGCACTTTTAATTGATGAGGTGCGCGCATGCGCATGCGCAGTTTGACGATTTTAAGAAAATCTAGAAACGGCAGGAAACGCTTTCGCGACTACCTAATATCTCAATCAACCAAGATTTTTCACCTGACCTGACTGATGCTCGATACCAAAGAGAGAACGAGAGAAAGAGAGAGAGAGAGAGAGGGAGGGAGGGGGGAGACACGTGACGCAAGTAGGTGACCGTATCGTTAAAGCGGGTCAACGTCGAACATTTCATAAGAGGCGTCGCGCGCTCGCTTATCGGTGCAGTATATCCCAAAGCGGAAAAGGAGAAACCGCGCGAACGACGGGAGAAACGAGAATGTTGCTTCCTCTATATATGGTCATGTGTGTCAGAGTCGGCGACTTCTCGAGTCCGAGTGCGTGCCTACGCGAGACGCGATTTCAAGCGATATCGCGACCACGCGCGCGCACCCTTCTTGCTCGCCATGATGAGAGAACTCGCAGCGGCGAGACTCCGCGCCGAGTCCGACGAATATAATCCGGCGATATAATCGATCGACGTTTCGTTGTCGTTAGTTAATTACGCCGCCGTTGAACCTCGAATTGGCGTTTGTAGCCGCTGCACGGTTATGCCGGGCCAAAGCGCCCCGATACGGCGGGTTCATTAGGAACGAATCAATTAGTGGCGTAGCTGATTGCCGATGCAGCGATCGGAGCGATATGCGATTAGAAGCCGGCCGCATGATTATTAAACCGCGCTCGATCTTTCACTCGTCCGGCCGAAATTGGATTTGTAGCCTACGAGTGCTACGGTAAACGTAGCGTAATGATAGCCAATTATTCGCCCGCTCCTCCGGATCGATCGGTTGCTTATCCGCTTCCTCTTTTCGTTCCGCCGAGATCTTCGCGTTGCCGGTGGCGGATCGCTGCTGGAGAACTCACCTCGGCGTTTTCACCAGCTAGACTCCGAAACCCTTCGCTAATCGCTCGAGTACAATAGCAGAACATCTTACTCGACATATCGAAAATACCGAAGTACGCATCGATTAATTTAGTCGTCTATAGTCCCCGATAATCGAGCATAGCACCCGGTAGGTAAAGAGAGAGAGAGAGAGAGAGAGAGAGAGAGAGAAGGAGAGCGAGGGACGAACGATCCGCTTTAGCGTAATAACGAGTTTACTAACCTCCTCGCATGTAGGTTAGAGGAGAATCGATGAGGCAGCGCGCGCTATGTGCATATGCATCGCCCTAGCTATAGCCTCGCGATAGTAGAGACTCGTGCGCGCGATAGACCGCACCACCACCGACAACGACGACGACGACGACGACGACGACGACGACGACGACGACGACGAGTCGTTCGCTAGCTAACTCGCATGCGAGCCGACGTTCTAACCGCGCAAACGTCGGCCCGCATTTCTACGCAACATGCTGAAATTCAAAGCGAATTACTCGACGACGCAGGCCCGCTTCCAGCAGAAGCAGCTGCAGGAGAAGGAGCAAAAGCTGCTGCAGCTATACGACCAGCAGCAGCAGAGGGCCTATCAGGTGGTGCAACGCGGCAGCGCCGGCTCCAACGGCTCCAATCATGGCTCCACGATTAAAAGTACCACGACTACGCATATGACCTCAACCTCGCAAGGCGGTAAGGTAAGTGCTTCCGGAAAGTAATCGTTAATAGCATGCATGTATCACCTTATGCGTCAGACATCGAGTGACTGTTCGCTGGCGTACCTGGTGTACTCTACCTTCATTTCTAACGCGTGTCCTTCGTGCGCTCGCGTCAGCAATCTCGAGGACCATCAGAACAAGGCAGTTCTGCGGTGACTAGCGATAACGTTGTTAACCGACAGGTGAAATCTAGCTTCTCTTCTGAATGAAAGTTTTCAGCTAAATGAAACTAACTTTGGTCCGGATGTCTCGATGATGGCGTTTTACCGTTCCACTCAAATATATGATTAATTTTGTATAAAAAGAAGATTGCTTGTAAATGGCCGGTATGAGAGACAAAAGATCTATGCCGTTCGAGTTACGTCAATCCTTGACCTTATCTTTCAACCATCGTTGTTTGTGCGAGCTTTCGCTCTACGATCGATGGAGATCAGTCGCGCGAAGGTGCTAATTCCAACGAAGGCGCGTATGACATTGGCCGGAAAGACTAGCCGAAGAAATGTGTGTGTAATGTACGATCGATTGTCGCAAGGTGAGGCAAATGTTCGACGAAAGGCGGCAGACCACCGTGAAGGGAATCGACAGGAGCTACCCGCTCGAGCCGCTGGAAAACAAGCTGCGAAAGCAAACGACGAACGGCCTGGCGCCGCAGCGAAACGGCAATCTGACGACGACGACGACGACGACGACGGTGAATCGACAGTCCGTCAGCGTGAAACGCGCGGCACGCTCGGACGTCAACAGCAACGTGAACGGCGGCAAGCCTGTCGTTTCTTACCGCGAGGATGTCACTCGCGAGTCATTCGGCCCGTCCGTACACCGTCACGATGACGAGGACGAATTCGGCAGCGAGAACCACGTCACCACGTTCGCCAACGGACATCATCGTCACGATCTTGACGACAATGAGGTGGGTAAGGAGCGGTGTTGGTTTAACGAAACGACCACTTACGCTTGCACTGTAAGAAAGAATCCGTCCAAAACAACTCGAGTCGAGTTGAGTAGAGTCAACTTCGGGGTTGCGAATCAACCTGCCCGACTCCCCTTCTTCCAGCAGAATTTTGGTACTCTTTTTATCTGCCTTTTTATCTGCCGTCTGTGTGAGACAAGTTTCGATGTGTGAATTTAAGTTTAAACTTGAAGAAAATTTTAACTGTCAACTTAAAACATTGAGCTGAAACGAAATGATCGTAAAGGTCGGCCCGATACATTGTCGGTTAGATATAGCGTCTGATTTACTTAACCTTCTAAACGAAGGTAGAATTGCTCCCCTATTATGCGGTAGATCAACCTTCTGTGTGTGTGTGTGTGTGTGAGTGAGCTTGAAGAAACGTCTACGCCGTATGTACATCTACGTCCCTGCTTCGTTAACGTTCTACTATCGACTGGATTGTTCAGCTGAAGGTCTTGCGTCAGACTGCCGAGTCGATTCGATTTTTACTCAAGTTGACTGCAACTCGTAGATGACAACATTCGCCTAACCCTGAGATGTAGTTCTTTAACTTACGACGACGCGTCCGTCTGAGCGAGATCTTTCGTTCTTTCTGTCTAGAGTATATATATATATATATATATATATGTAGGGTGCTAAATTCCAAACGTAACAGATAAAAAATCTCGAAAACTATAAAGCTATTAAAAAAAGCTGAAACAAAATTTAATAATTTTGAAATTTCCAAAGGTCGATAAGTTAACAAAAGTTAGGGCACTATTATAGTAATATATTCTTGATAGTAAATAAAGTAAAAAAGTCTAATACTATTTTTTCTTTTGACGAATAGTTAGCGAGATATCGTGAGTTAAATGTTGAAAAAGTTACCAAGTTTTCCTTAAATATTTCAAAAAATATTATACCAATAAAAAAATGTTTCAGACAACAGTTGTTAAAATTAATTGGTAGAAAAAGAAGATATAATAAAAAACTGGGCTTTCTGTTTTAAAAAATTAAATTGACCTTGAACTGACCTTGAAAATGCTCTCCAAACAAAAAAACTGATAATGCCGTTCTCTTTCCCCTTCGAAATCATGTAACGCGTGTTTTAGCTTCTTCTAATATCTTTCATAGTTTTCGAGATTTTTTACCTGTTACGTTTGAAATTTAGCACCCTGTATATATTTCCGTATCTCTGTTTCAATTAATGTTTATCGACACAACAGGATGAAGCCCTAGACCAAGAGACAATGGAGAGAAATCGCATGATGGCGAAGATCCACCTGATGGGATTCGACGAGAGCCTGAAGCATCGCGTGAGAAACGACTTGGAGAGCGAGCAGTTTCCGGAGTACCTCATGGTGGACGTGCCCGACAAGCTGCCGAAGAGAAACGTCACGAAGAAACTGTCGCAGGCGGAGGCGCGACTCGAGCGATTCAAGAACGCGAACGCAAAGAGGAGCAGCAACAACGCGCCGAAGGCATCGGCCACGACCGGCGCCGCGGTGAAAAGGCGAACGGAGCAGATGTTGCCGGCCAGGTCGAGCTCCAGGTAAGTCGCTTTTCCGCGCCCACGCGGCTTATTGTCGCGAAACGGAATCTCAGCTGAGCAATAAGCTTCACCGTAAAAAAGAAAGAGAAAGGTGCCGCCCGGCAGCAGATGAAACGCGTAGTGTAGCTCGCGTGCATAGAGAGAGAGGGTGGGGGAGAGAGAGAGAGAGAAAGCCCAGCAGTTAATAATGGAAATTTGATCGATCATTGTACGGCCCCAAATAATTGCGAATTTCAATCATCGGCAGCCAGCAACAATCTCGCTAACAATTCGCCGCTGCTTGCCAGAATTAATTCCACGCCACGCAGCGTACTTCGCAACGCAATCGCTGACCACCTCTGACCGTTCACGCACCGGCCCCGAGGAGGCGACCGAGGAAGAACGATATAATACCATGTGTCTCTGTTCTAATAATGTGTCCGTCTAACCCCCCGCCTCATCGCTGCGGAAACTAGAGCGAAAAATTAAAAACACAAAAAAACATAGAAGGAGAGGAAGGACGGTGGACGGCTAATTCGCAGAGTTGGCGACCGCGCAAACCCGCCTACGGAAGAGCGTAATTAATCTCCGATTAATCTGGTGCGCGCGACGCGACGCGACGGAACGACGAAGAGGAAGTTCCGTCCGCCGCCCGAGCGGGCAGCCGAAGGCGCTCGAGGTCGCCCGCGAGCTTGATCATCCCAGGTGTACGTTGACTTTAACCGTAATTCACGCACGGCAGCCACTTAACCAAGCGGGTAGTGCAGAGAGAGAGAGAGAGAGAGAGAGAGAGAGAGAGAGAGAGAGAGCGAGTAACTCGAGCCGCGACACGTCGAGTCGCTAATCGCTAATCGGCTTGGCTCGCTTACGAGCCGAAATAAGAGAGCGACCCTGCAGCAAAAGAACGAACATGCCTTAGCGCGCGTGCCTTAGCGAGCTTGCTTGAAAATCCCCTTTGCATTCGCCCTCACGAGTCTGGCCCTTCCCAGAGGGAGCGAGACCGCCGACGGAACAGCTTCTTCGGGCAGCGCGAGAAGCGGAGCTTGGGAGCGCGCTCGAGGGAATCCCGGCAATGCGAAGGATCCTCCGTCCGCGCCGCCACCGGTGACGGCGAGGACTCGCGCATTCGCTCGGTCACACATCGCCGGCGACGAAGCGGGCCGGACGCGAAGAGAGAGCCCGGACACCGAGACGCTCCGCCGCAGCGATGATCCCCCGCCGAGAGGCTCCCCGGGCAGGTTCGGCAAAGCCCCGGCGGCGGCTTGGAGAAGTTCCTCCGTCGACAATTATTTCAAATCGCTGACGTCCGACGGGAAGATAATCATGAGACGCGGCGCGAACCCGCGCTCCGCGCTCGGCGTCGACCTAAGATCGGCGTCGGGGGACCGGCAGACGCGCCGGGAGACACGCGCCAGCCGAAGCACGAGTAGTCCGGGATTCCTGCGCAGGGAAGGCGAGAGGTCCACGACGAGTATGACGGTCGATCGGGGGGGAGCCAGGGCGCCGACGGTGTCGTCGCTCGCCCGGGAGATATTAACGCGGCGAAGCGGACGAGCCGAAGAGAAGACGAGTACGACGAGCATCGATCGGAAGTACGCGGAGCTGACGCGCGACGAGCGCTCGCCGAGCCCGCAATTTTCCTCGGCAGAATCCAGAAAGTCCGACGCGACGGTGACCATCGGTCGCGAGGAGGTCAACCTCAGACCAACGTCGGCCGACCGACAGACTCGCGCCGACCGAAGTACGAGTCCGGAATTCTTCTGCAGAGAGGACGAACGGTCGGCCACGACCATGACGCTCGACCGAGAAGGATCCACGTCGTCGTACGATCGGGAGACATTAGCGCAGCAAAGCAGGCAGTCCGAAGAGAGTGTCGACCGAAGGTACGCCGAGATTACGCGCCACAAGCGTTCCCCGAGTCTGCCATTTTTCCTCAAAGAGTCCGGGAGATCCAGCGTCGGCCTCAGATCGGCGTCGGCGGATCGGCAGACGCGGGAAACTCGCGCGAGCTCCAGCACTAGCCCGGAATTCTTCTGCAGAGAAGGCGAAAGGTCGGCCACGACCATGATGATCGATCAGAGAGTCAGGGCGCCGACGTTGTCGTCGCGCGCTCGGGAAATGTTAACGAAGCAAAACAGGCGGACGGCAGGAGGCACGATGAGCATCGACCGAAAGTCGTACGCGGAAATCGCGCGCCGAAACGAGCGCTCGCCGAGTCCCCTGAGTCGACTTTTCCCGCGAGAACCCGGAAAAACCGGCGCGACCGTGAGTCGCGTCGGTCGCAAGGATATCAATCTCAGATCGATATCGGCTGACCGAAGTCCCGAGTTCCTCCGCAGAGAAGCCGAGAGATCGGCCACGAGCGTGATGGTCGATCGGGGGGCCGGATTCAATTCATCTCGCGACCGAGACGTATCAACGAAGCAGAACAAGCGAACCGAGGAAGTCATGACGAGCATCGATCGGAAGTACGCCGAGATTACGCGCGACAAGCGCTCCCCGAGTCGGCAATTTTTCCTCAGGGAGTCCGGGAAGTCCGACGCGACGCTGAGCATTGACCGCAAAAATATCAAGCTTAGATCAACGTCGGCCGATCACGCACGGCAAACACGCACGAGCCCAAGTCCAGAATTTTTCCGCAAGGAAGGCGAAAGATCGGCCACGACCATGACGCTCGCCCGGGGAAGATCCACTTCATCTCGCGACCGCGAGACTTCATCAGCGAAGCAAGGTAGGCGAGCCGAAGGAGCCACGACGAGCCTCGATCGAAGGTATGCGGAGATCACGCGCGACAAGCGCTCGCCGAGCTCGCGCTTCTTCTACAACGAGTCCGAAAAATCCGCCGGCGCGACGCTGATCGAACGAAAGTCAAGCTCGACGGAGACCGCTAAGAGTATCCTGAGACGGCGGAGGCACACTTCGGACACTTCCTACAAACCACTCGCGGGACTCTCGTCGCCGCGTAACAAAGGAGCTCGCGCCACGCGAGTCAGACACACTCCGAGTCCTTCGGTGGCCAAAAGCGAGGCGAAGAGAGGCCTGAAGAGAGACGAAGCCTCTCTCAGGGTCGTCAGATCAGACAGTCGTAGATCATCGAAGATCTCGGAGGCCTCCGCGACTTCGGCCAGCTCGATCGTGAGCTTGAAGTACGGCCTGGAGTTCGACAACATCCTGCAATCGGCGGGCCTCGTCCGTAAATTCATGAAGACTCAAAATGGAGGGCAACGTGACAAGGTGCAGCGCCTGTCGCCTTCAAAGCGCGATATCAAGAGTGTGAGCGCACGGACGGGGGTGAGAAACGAGGGTCAAGCGAGGAATCGATACAAAGTTTCCGCGCTCTCGCAGAAGTCGAGGTCGCCGTCTGGCGACAGCAAGGGGAGGGCCACGCCGGAGTACTCGCGCAAGAGCGTCACTCCCACGGAGATCGACGTGGAAATTCAGGAGATCACCATGACCGATCACCGCATGGAACGCTACGAGCCCCGGAAGGAATCGAGCTCGGAGCAATCGAAGAGCAGTCCGACGATCGATTTCTCAAACGTTTCGAGCGCCTCGAGGAAAATAATTCCTCCGACCAAAGGCTACGGTCGGCGGCATGACGTAAAGTCGAAAACCCCAGCGCGACTCTCGCCCTTGAGGAGAGCCACTCGCCGCGGCGCCGACGTCCTGAGGACTTCGTTCTCCCGAAGAGTCGCGGATCAGGAATCTGCATTCAAGTATTCCACGTATACTATCAAGGATAGCAGGCGCAAACGCCAGAGTCTGTTGGCCGCGAAGGAAGGATCATCGCCGGACTCGATCGATGATAAGTCGAAGGACACCGCGAGAGAATTCCCGAAGACGACGCGACGAGAGGACGAGTCCGGGAAAGATATCGAGAGAATGGACTCATTGACCGTCCAGGAGTCGACGTCACGACCAGTCGATTCCGTCACTGGGAGATCCGAGAGCTCGGCCCGAGCGTCGTCAGAGATCTCCTTGCGAACGATGAACGCGCAAACGAAAACTCCCGCCGAGGAGCTGAAAGCTTCGGCAAGATCAACGGCGGACTCCGGAGTAACGAGAACCTCCGCGACCTTAAGATCAACTCTGCGACCTGCAAAGACCGGCAAAGGCGCGAGTAAAGTCGAACACGTCGCGCGTACATGCGATCTTAAAACGACCCTCAGCAAGGTGATTCGTCCTTCCGGAAGAATGACCAAGACCTACCGAAGCTCAGCCGCAAGCGGCAAACCAGTCTCGACGCAGAGGCGATCGCCCACGTGCAAGCGGCAGCTGTTCGAGTCCGACTCGGAGAAGGAAACGCGCAGCGTGCGAACGAGTTGGAATTTCGCGAGAACGCGGAAGAAAGAGACTCACTTCTCCGCAGATGTTCGATCTCGCAGAGACGCAGCGACGACGTCGAAGGTCGTCAAGTCCCTCGGGGGCTTCGACGTAGCGAAGAGGTCCTCACGGAGGCCGGAGGAGACGCCGGTGATCTCCGTGAAACCGCTACGATCCATCGAGGACATTCGGAGGTCGATCGATTGTCACGAACGAAGCGCACTGACCGCTACGAAAAAAAGGTCGAGGTCGGCGATTGCAAGTTGGCGTTCCTCAACGTCGCGAGAGAGTGGCGATGCGAGAAGAACGATCTCCGCGAGCGGCACAGCGAGACGCGTGTCTCCCGAGGACCAGCCCGCGAGATTAACTAAAGTTCAATCCTGTGTCCAATCCAGGATCGCGAAGAGCCCGAGTCCCGACGCGAGGAGCCCGAGGAAGCAGCACGAAACGAACGCGCGAGCGACGCGGGGAAGCGCTCCTTCGTCTCCCTCCAAGAGTCCCGATAATATGCATGTCGCTCCCAGGGTAAGTGTCACTACAGAATTGTGAAGTGATTTTTCGCGATGTGATTTTTGTTACACTTCATTATATCTCACATTATTATTATTATTATTATATTTTATTTGTATCTTTTATTTATCCGACACAATGATATACGCTCCCTGCTTTTATCGATAAAGTGAATAAAGTGCCTTCTGATTAGCTGTAAGGAACTTTTAAAGTTTTTTTTCGACGAAGGAGAATTTAGAACACCGACCATTGTCTTGTTACATTCTGTCAATAGTCGTTGAAATTGAAATTGTTGCGAATGAGACACTCAGATCTGAGTTTAGAGTTAGACGTGACCCTTACGAAAAAAACACTCGAATATTGAGTGTTATAAATTTAAATAAATATATATATATATATATATAGTATATAATAATGTAAATAAATAATAAGTAGTAAATATATAAATAATAATTTAATAAATAATAAATATATATAAATAAATAGATAAATTCAAATAAATTTTAGTGTAAATACTCAATATATGAGTATTTTTTCCGTAAAGGGAGCTTTTCAGTGGAATCACGCTTACAAGCACAATGTGCAGCAACAACGATTCGACTGAAAAGGCCGGATCGTCCAGAGAGTACGTCCAGCGATTGAGTGATCTACTTTTGAAAGGCGGGTGTCATTGAGAGATTTAAAAGTGCACCTGAATCATAACTGATAATTTGATTTGATAATTTGTATTGAACGCAACTGTGCAACTGTTACGTTTTCTGAACGCGGCCATTGTGTCCCTATCCGCTACTCCCATCTCATTGATCGTTCTCATTAATGTGTTCCATTAGCGCGGATCCACGGAGCCGAAGAATCCAGACGCGAGACCCGCGAGAAGGTCGGTTGTCGCGAGAGCCGCGGAATCGATCGGGAATAAAACGACGACCGGAGCGGCGGACACGATCGACGGCGTCGTTCAACGGAACGACTCGTCGCACGAATCGGCCACGAAGAAATCCGACGCCTTTGTGATCGACTTGGACGATCGACCGAAAGAAAGCGACACGACACCCCCGAAGAAGGCGACGTCGATGAGGAGGTCCTCGACCGATGTAAGATAGGTCCTCCTTTCCTTCTTACGGGACTTTTTGTTAAAATGCGAGCGCGTTCCTTCGAGTTATTTCGGTCGTGCGGCTTGAAGGAGAGAGACGCTGGCTCGTCATGGAAGTTTTGTGATCGAACTAGGCATGTTTCATGGGCCTTTCGTGTCAGCTGGCAGTGCGAACGTCGCGCGATGAATAAGCCAGCTCGTTTTGTGTGTTATCGTCACACTCATACACGCAAATCAAATTAAAGTATAAACTCGCGAAATAGAGACAGAATTTTTCTGGAATGCATTGATACCCGTAAACTAAATACAACATCAGCGCTGGGCGTCCCCAATCGATTGAAATTTTAATTGAATCAAATTAAAAAATTAACGTCAAGCGAATCGTGATCACATACAATGATGGCTTCAAATCAATTAATTTGATTTGATTGATTACATCTCTGATTGATAATTAATTTGATCAAATTAAATCGCTCAGACTTTCGTGCACACAAGAGAAGTCAAGAAAATATCCAGACACAAACTGCTCTAATTAACGCAACCTACAAATTTTAACTTAAATGTATATTTTGAATTGAGAAAAGAGAAAAAAAGAAAAAGAAGGGATATCCCAATGAAAAGAAAGAAAATGGAAAATCCCTATCGCGCGATACAGCATGGTATATTATTCAACAAAGCTTCTCTCCGTGCGCCAAGTCTACGGAATATCCCGTTTTTATATTCTCTAAAGCTGAGTTTGCCGAACACGCGATAGTTAACGGCGGATTCACAAAGAAAATCGATCATAAAGCGCAACATTGTTGCGCAATTTGCCTGAAAAATCGCTCGAAGAGCGAATGGATTTAATGGCATGCAGTTTTATCACTAACACATCAGCAGTTTGTTTCGACATTATTGCCGTTTTGAAGTCGAAATAAATCCGTATTTATTCGATCGCATCGTGACGGGTCGGCGGTGAAAAAAAAAAAAAGAAAAAAAACAGGAGCGCAGGAGTAATGCGCTCTGAAGCGCAGCGTCAAAATAAAATGTCGCCTCTCTTTCTCTCGCGTGACGCCAATCCGGCTGGCCAGTTAATCGCGCATGGATTTTCCAGCCTGTTCCCAAATTGAAATTCGCATTGTGCATGCTCAAAAAATCAATCAGTGAACGCCGGCCAGGTATTTGATGCGCAGCCGAATCATATTGCTACACGGTCCCTTCACATGCAGTATAATTTATCTCGCGTACAACCGCAATCAGTTCGTTCGAAGATATAATTTGTCGAGGCGAAAAAGAAAATCGAGAAAACCCGCGCGCGTTAATTGTAAAACATTCACAAGCCCGTTAGCTTTGTTAGAAAAAAGGAGCATGATGAAAATGGTTGATAACACGCGTCCACGCGCGATACAAGGTACAATTAAACGTCTGACTTAACCTCGCCAGCCTGGAAACTCAGAGCTATGAGGAGACGAATTTTACTCCCGAAAATGCAAGTTTTACGCGTACATTTCATAGAGTCGTATTTCGATTTATATTATTTATTGAGTCAACGGATTAAATCGAATATTATTTATCCGGCGGTTCAATCCGCACGCTTATTTTCAGAAGTACCCAACAACCTCGAGCGCATCGGGCAGACCAACTTCGTCGGTATCGTCGAACTTCAGCAGTGCTGGCACGGCGCATAGTCAAACGTCCAGTACGAAAAGTAGAATGGCCACGAAGACCAAAACGCCGGTTTCCGGTGGATCGCAGGCGAGGGGACCATCCTCAGCGAGGACGGGAAATGTCAACTCCGGGTAAGGAGTTTTTTTCAGCGAAGTGATCGGGTGATCGAGAAAGAAGAGACAAATCGCTGGATAATAGAGTCAATTATCTGCAGAATTAAAATAGAATCAACGTGTAACACGCGCATCGACGTCCCTTCAATTCTTGATTTGAACAAGTCCTAATGAGGTTCTCGAATGCCGTACCCGAAAAGAAAGTATTCTATTTGTAAAATAATTTTTCTCATAGTCTCACATTCTAAGCGAAGCCTTTTACAGAAAAAGAATTCCTCTTTCGATAAAGCGATTAAAGTGTACCATTTATCTAAAATTTATTAAATATTATTCTAACTGTTTTCCTCTTGTTTCAAGAGGATTCCCTCTTATATCAATTAATTTTCTTCTTATATCAAGAGGAATATGTTGATTGGAATGTCGGCTTCTTCTTTTGTTCAGTCATACTCTACCTCCAGACATAAACGAAAAAATAACCATATGCTCATGGATTAGAATGTTTGAAACGCTTTCTAAAAAAGGTATGTGTGTTGCTGTAACATATAACGAAAATAATTTATCCATATTTGGTTAAATACAGTTTGTAAACTATTGCAAGAAGTTGCATAGTATATTCTTTCTTTTAACTATGTTTCATACAATTGGTTATGATGAACATCTTTGTAGCTACGAAATAACAAAACGAATTGAAAATTTATTTGTTATGATCTTATTTCATTCGTGTCTATTTATTATAGAACTGGAGCTAGAAATATGTCTATATATATATATTATTTTTCGCTATTTATTCATTATAATAATTTTTTTTCAAATTAACCAGTAAAAATAAAATACAGTAAGAATAAATAATAATCTCCTTTCTCTTAAAAAGAGATTAAAAAAGATTAAATAATCTGTGTATAAGAGGAAATTTATATATTAAAATCAATAAGATTTGCATTATACATATAACATGTAATCCCTCTAACTTTAAGAATAATGTGTTTATAATATTTTCCTCTTAATCTTAAAGGAATCCTCTCGAGGCCATATACAGGATGTCCCATTTTAATGTCCCATCCCAAATAACTCTTCAGTATTGAAGTTTCAAGGAAAATGATCTGAAGAAAAGTTATAGGGATTTAAGTGAGCTACCTTATGATGACCTTGACTTCGACCTCGACCTCTATTTTCAAGGTCATTTGAAGGCCAACTTGCGTTTTTTAAATGGGAACCCTTATTGTTTATTACGCTGTTTTTTTCTACTAGTCAATCTTAACAACTTTTGTCTAAAATATCTTATTTGTCTAATATTTTTGGAGATATTTGAGGAAAACTTGATAACTTTTTCAATATTTAACTTACGATATCTCGCTAACCATTTGTCGGAAGAAAAAGTGGCGACTAGACTTTCTTGCTTTATTTAGTCTCAAGAATATATTGTTACAATAGCGCCATGACTTTTGTTAACTTACTGATTTTTGGAACTTTCAAAATCATCTAATTAACAAAAATCAGGGCGCTATTGTAACAATATATTCTTGAGACTATATAAAACAAGAAAGTCTAGTCGCCACTTTTTCTTCCGACAAATAGTTAGCGAGATATCGTAAGTTAAATATTGAAAAAGTTATCAAGTTTCCCTCAAATATCTCAAAAAATACTAGACAAATGAAAAAATGTTTTAGACAAAAGTTGTTCAAATTAACTAGTAGAAAAAAAACAGTGTAATAAAAAATAAGGGTTCCCATTTAAAAAACGCAACCTATTTGCAAAATTTGACCTTCCAATGACCTTGAAAATAGAGGTCGAGGTCAAAGTCAAGGTCATCATAAGGTAGCTCACTTAAATCCCTACAACTTTTATTCAGATCATTTTCCTTGAAACTTCAATACTGAAGAGTTATTTGGGGTGGGACATTAAAATGGGACACCCTGTGTAAGAATAAAATCCTCTAAAATCTAAATGATTCCGCTTGTTCTGAAATTATTTTTTTTTGGGGTGTGTTCGAGAACCTCGTTAAGATTCGTGCGCCGGACGCGGGAAATTCTTCCTCAGGAACAACGAGCAAAGCTACGGCGAATCGCAAGCCGCTCCATCCATATCGCTGCTTGGATCAATTAACGATTGATTACAGGGACAACTTGACAACCTGCAACACATGCGGGCGCAGCTTCGCGCAAGATCGAGTGAGCCTGCACGAGCAGATCTGCGCGAAGACGATGAACAAGAAGCGGAAACAATTCGACGCGATGACGTTCCGCGTGCGGGGGACCGAACTCGAGCCCTTCGTGAAGAAAGGCATCGCCAAGAAGCAAGAGGTCAGTATTCCTTCTCCCACTCGTCTCTCTCGATCTCTCCTGCCGCGTGCCTGCGACCCTGCCAGTCGAATTTCTCTCCTGCAGTCTCAGTTCGGTTTGATTCCTCCGAGATTGATCATCTCTTCTAGCCCGTACAACTTACGGATCCCTAGCATAACTTCGTAATTCGATGGCTCCGCGTCAGCGATTTCCTCCAATTCCGGATTTCGTCAGGATCTCTCGATTCCCGCCCGGACCGGCACGGGCGGGGAGAGCGAGGGGCGCGCATGTAAACTCGATTCTTCGGAATTATTTATCGATACGTCGCGTAGCTCAGCTCAGCGTTACAGAGCGAGAAGAAAAAAGGAGGAAATACCGTCGGGAGGAAAAACCCCGCGTGAAATGAATCGTCGCGCTCGATCTCTCGAGGAGAGACTTCCAGGGGGGACTCTGCGTCCCCTGGGAAAACGCTTGCTCACACGTTCTCTCGTGTCGTTTCAGTCGAATACGAAGAAGCCGGGGCTGAAGTCGAACTGGCGACGCAAGCACGAGGAGTTCATCGAGGCGATTCGTTCCGCCAAGATGGTGCAGTCGCACCTGGCGGCAGGTGGGAGCCTGAAGGATTTGCCGCCACCCCCGCCCAGCGACACCAGCGATTACATCCAATGTCCGCACTGTGGAAGGAGATTCAACCAGGCCGCCGCGGAGCGGCATATTCCCAAGTGCGAGCACATGCTGCATAACAAACCGGCGCACGCACGAGCGGCCAGGACGAGACGCTAGCGATTAAATTACAGAGTGCGATCCGGCTCGGCAGAGCCCGTGTTCTCACCTAACTTCTTCTCCTAAACGTCGCTCGCTGATCAATTCAGCGCAGTCGAGCAGGTGCCTTATATTCGAACTTGGAAATTTTCGACCGATGTAAACGTCTCTCACTTTCTCTCTTTCTCCCCTCGTACGAACGGGAGAGCGGTGAGAAGTTGAAGCTCTTCGAAACGTCCGCGATCTGCCGATTTCTTTTCGTCTGTTGAAAATGGATATGAAGAAAAGAATAAGAACTCGTTGTGATCAGCCACCTTGAAAAAATGAATCAGGCACAATTTGAAAATGATATCTTGGAGCGCGTGTCGCTGCGACGATTAATATAGAAACTTCGCGAGCTAAGAAGCCGTAATAAAACAAGCGGGAGCACATCGCATTAATGAATCATATGGAAATTATGTACATTAACAATGACAGCGGCATGCACAGTCGCAGATGCGAGATATATATAGTTCGGCAGCTGCATCGATAGGCAATTCGCAGCGTTTGAAATCAGGTAGTCACGCCGAGATCATGAGTGTCGCTTATTACTCGTAAAACTACTGCCGTTCAACGGCGGCTTTGACTAACTGTTGATCAGATTTTCTACTATCGCGTTGACTTTTCTATGCATTATAATCGAGCGCATTTTTATAACCGCAACAATCATGTACAATACGCAGATGCGAACATGCGCTGATGATGTACGTGAAATTAATGTATCGTACAGCACGAATGGCAATAAAATCGGGATTCTTGTTTCGTAGGAATGAATTCCGTACACGATGCGAATCGCGCCAGATCTTTCTTTATATATATATATATATATATAATATTCCCCTCTTCCCCTCCCATCTTATATATCTTGATTTATATCCGTCGAACCGGATATAAATCTTTTTTCTTAAATCCCATAGAAAAAAGATCTTGATGCGTCTTGATTAGCGATATTTTAAATATTAATTTCGTCCACATGCTTTCTTCGTGCCCCGAATTATATAAAATGAAACATCTTCGCGTAATGTTGCTACACATAATATGTATACTATTATGTAGATACATATTATGTATATGTAACAACACACAGAAGTTGCAGCAACATTGCAGCAATGTTGTAACATTGTTGCAACATTATTACTGCAACGTTACTGCAACTTCTGTGCTATATATGGGAATATATTTCAATAATTCGTGTTAATTTATCCGTCGTTTCTCCCCAGAGTATTGCATATATCGCGTCCAGATGAATAAGTCGTAAATAATCGATAATAAGTTGTAAAGAAAACAAAAAGTAAAAATATACAGCAATTCTCGACATATTCACCAAAAGAGGAGATCGATCTGAGCCCCAAAATCAGTTTAAGCAAACACATTTCATGCGGCAGATCGAAACATGTCTCGTATTCTTCATCGGATAATTTTATGCATTCTTCGGATAACGGCGCCTTCTTATGTTCGAGCTAGATACTTTACTGCGCCAACGTGCGTCGCACATGCGCTGGAAAGTCAGCACCTCATGCACACACACGTATGCACCGACGCACATGAGAGATAGCAGTTTGCCGCAGTATATGTGGTATCCGTTGTGTGGTGGCACGTTCTTCGCAAAGGATCCCCGACTGACCGGGTTATAATGACGAAATCCGAAAATCTCACGAGTAACATACGTCCGATGTAAGCGCGGCTCGACGATTATGGATCAACTGATTATCTTGGTGTCGGCGGTACATATGTTGTATTGTCCGTTCACGAAAGTCGAGGAGAGCTTCAATTTGCAGGCTATGCACGATATTCTTTACCATGGCTTGAATCTTACAGAGGTGATTATGACTGAAACGTTAAAAGACGTCGATCCGCAAGCGCGAGAACCGTATTTAAATCGTTTGACGTTCGTCATCCATCTCGTTCACCTGGCAATGAAGTTACGATCGAGCCGACCACGCGTAAAAAGTGTCTTATATTTAGCACCAGATGCGCATATTTATAAATCTGCAATCAGCTGATCAGCCGCACCGAATCATTTTTACGCGATAGCGGCATGTGTGCCTCGCAAACTTAATGCTTTTTGACTTATATCGTTTCTTTTTTTCTTTTTTTTATTTTAATTACTAATGTCTTTTGCCAAAAAAACTCGCGCGATAAGGCTATAAGATAGGATAATCAAGGAGGAAGAAAATGAGTGCGATCAATGGAATTAATGGAATAACGACATTTTTCCCCGGATAGTACGATCATCATGAATTTCCTGGAGTCGTGCCACGTTCTTTTCTGGGACCTATTATAGTATCCGGTGTTGCTTCACCGCTAGTGGCAACTATTAATTACCTAAGGTTCAACAAATTTTTTGTTCAGTATGTAGGTAAGTTTGGTAATTGTAGAATGTATGACAGTTTTATATTATACTTTTATAAATGATAAGAGATTTGGTGTTTCAGTGAGAGCGACTTTGGGCTTGTTAGTGATAGGTACGTTGAAGTTATACAGACAAGCTTTGCAAAATATCTTTGGCCTGCAGTTTACAAAATGGTTTGTCGCAATAACTGTGACACAGTATCACCTCATGTACTACCTCAGTCGTCCACTGCCAAATATAATGGCCATGCCCCTAGGTAATAAAATAAAAACTACTTTTTTATGAGAGAGAAAAAGAGAGAGAGAGAGAGAGTGCCCAGTACATGTACATTATTGCGATCAAAATATGAAACTAAGGAGACATAATTATTGCAGTATTGTTGGCCTTATATGGATGGTTGAGACAGAGTCATGGGATATTTATCTGGGCATCAGCTGCAGTAATAATAATATTCAGAACTGAACTCGCTATACTGATGGGACTATTTCTTTCATATGATATAGCCTATCGGAAACTTTCAATACCAAGGTATTTATATCATAGAACATTGATTCTTAAATGATCATAAAATTACAAGCAAAAAATATTAAAGTCATCATTTTCTTTCTGCACAAATTTGCAAGTTTCTCTTAATTTTGTATCTCTATTCCAAACAGACAGTTAATTCTTTAGATGTAATGCTCTTTCTCTAGGTTACTCTGTTTATTGCAAAATAATATTTCATAATAATAATTTTTAGAATGCTTAAAATTGCGGTTCCAGCTGGTATATTGTTCTTAGCACTTACTATTGCTACAGATTCAATATTCTGGAGACGTTTAGTATGGCCAGAAGGCGAAGTGTTTTACTTCAACGCTATACTTAATAAGAGCAGCGACTGGGGTGTATCCTTTCCAAATACACAATGAACTTTTGTTTCGTTAAGTGTTTTGAATTCACAACACAAGCACTTATATATATATATATATAGATGAACTTGACATGCAAGTATAGACGTCACCATTTTTGTGGTATTTCTACTCTGCGCTACCAAGGGGCCTAGCACTCTCCTACTTTTTGATCCCCTTGGGAATGATCTGGGATGCTAGAGTACGTTTACTCACTGTCCCAGCTATCACATTCGTGATACTGTTCTCATTCTTACCACATAAAGAATTGAGATTTATCATATATGTGTTCCCATTACTAAATGTTGGCGCCGCTGCCGCCTGCCACAGAATGTGAGTATTTCTCTTTGACTGTACGACAGAGTCTATTCGTATGACAAATCTTTGTAGCTGCACGTAATGCAAAAATTATTTCTCGTTGAATATTAGATGGGAAAACAGAGCAAAAACAACATGGAATGGTTTTTTAGCGCTGATAATCCTGGGTCATCTTGCATTAAACGCTCTATTCTCAATGTTTCTACTTTGTGTGGCCGGCTCGAATTACCCAGGAGGTGCAGCAGTCGCTAAATTGCACAGGCTCGAAAGAAATTCGTTCGAACCGGTGCACGTACATATCGATGTGCTGACTGCACAAACAGGAGTCTCGAGATTTACGCAAACCAACGTTTCTTGGACGTAAGTTATCATCGCTACGATTAATGTTATGTGTGAGAAAATGAGATGGAATGATCAGATATGATCGTTCTCCTAAGGATTATTCAAGTCTCCCTGCATGGTTTACTTTCTTCTGATGGAAAAATAATCGTGTTACAGTTACTCGAAACAAGAAAACTTGACCGTCGACGACCCTGAAATGTTGCGGTTCACTCATCTCTTGATGGAAGCAAAGAGCAAATATTCTCCAAATATAAAGCCCTACCTCAAGACTCACGACATCGTTGACTCCGTCGATGGGTTCTCGCATATAGCGTTAAATTACCACATGTTGCCGCCTATTAGAATTAAGACAAAACCCACTATATTTATTATGAAGAGAAAAACAAATATCAAATATGATCCTGACAAAGCAAAGTCGAAAGAATTTATAGAAGATTTCCTGCAGCAAATAGACGACGCGGAAGAAGGAATAGAATCAAATATATCACGCGAAACAACAACAGAAACGGAGCCAATATTTGACGACATTGTCGAGTCTTTGGAAGAAATTGATGAAGAAAATGTTTCTAATATTGAGCTTGAGCATATTGCGGAAACAAATGATAATACTGAGGAAGAAGCGAGTAGGCAGAATAATTTTGCAGACGATAGTATGGCATCTGCGGAAATTGTTCAAACTATAAGTACAAATGAGTTATTGCCAAATTTAAAAGATAAGACGAGAGAAAAAAACTTGGATTTAGACGAAGATTTCGAAAATATATCTGACACTGACGATGTCACATCTGATGAAAAAGTAAAGCAGAAAACCGAAGATTTTGAAAATATATCTGACACTGACGATGTCAGATCTGATGAAGAAGATCGGATAAAACAGAAAATCGGAGAAGTCAAAGTTATTAAGGGAAAATTTAGGAGCAATCTGAATCCACGCCAAGAAGGCCACGGCATTAAGGAAACGGTCAAAAAGATCATTCAAGAAAGAATGCAAGTCAAGCAAAAAAGAGAAATGAAGGATGAACAAAAGAATACGGAACTTCCGGTAAAATCGATGAAGAAGAAAGAAGTTACAGCAACAGAACTGCCAAGAAAGATAAAAATGTTAAAACAAGAAGTGAGAGACACATTGGTCTTGACTGGAAAACCAACAATAGTGAAAGAGAAAGGAAAGATTGCGAAACGAGTTGTGAAAGATGAAGATGCTGTCGTTAAACAGAAATTTATTAAAGCGAAAAATATCACACAGAAGGTAGACAAAATCCAAGCGATGAAGCTTGATTTGGAACAAATCACAAAGGAGGAAGATGTGACCATAGAACAAGAGAGTGAAATGACGGATATGTCGATGGAAAACATCGCAAAGACACAGGATAAAGTTGACACAAAGTCGCCTATAATTTCAGAAGAAACTATAGAAGAAGACGATAAAAAAGATCTCAAACCGTCGAAACCGATAAACGTGAGAGAGAGCATACGAAACATAATAAACCAATTTAAAGAATTTGAGAAAGATTTTCTATACGATGACATAGATCTGACGACAGAAACATCAGCGTTCGACGCAAGTGAGACAAGTTATATTGAAAATGACGTGACAAAAGAAAGTAGTGATGCTGTTGATCATTCTACAGAAAGCAAGGATCAACTAGCGGTAAAAGATCCTAGAGAAAGCCTCAAAGAAATAATAGATCAGTTCAAATACATTAAACACGAATTAACTTCTGAGGAGGATGACCAGTTCGACGATATCGCGGCTAAGTATATGGAACGACCGATCGCTGAAACGTTACTACAATTCAACGAAGCTTTAAAGAGCTTGATGCAGCGAAGAAGAAAGACACCATTGTCTGAACAGACAACCAACACCAAAGACGATTACATCTCAGGAGACCCGTTGCAAACGAAACATGCAAAAAGGGCAAAGGTTGCCAAAAACGATCACAATAATGAAAGAGCGAAAGTTTTAAGAATCAAGTCGAACGGTAAACCAGAAAGTGTCACAGTAAATACCCTAAAGCACGATTTCAACGTAATCCCTGATGCGAATAAAGACACCAGTACAGCAACAAGTACCGAAGAAGATTTAATAAACCCTCAACGATACAATGATGAAATTTTAAATAACGTAAGTAAAATGGACATCGCGAAGCAAGAAAGTTCACAGAAAAATACGAAATATGGTCGGGGCGAGTAAATATTATTTCTAGTCTGAAACAATTGTGCAATCGTGACATGTAAATAGGTTTTTCTGTGATATCGAAAACGCTGTATTTTTTAATATATGCTCGCGCATTACCAACACGGAAAGCGTAAAATTTATTTGACCTGTATGTCTACATGAGATATCTACAATCGTTTCGAGTGCAGCAATAAATATAGACATGCTTCTATACACATGAACGAGTTCCACAGCAGTATGTAGCTCCATATTGTCTTTCCAAATCGATTTTTGCATTTAGATATCGCTTGGAAAACTTTTTATTATCTATTGCCTGATTATGCTATACGTTTTATCATGCTTGCCAATTGTCTAGTTATAAATTGCTACTTTCTACAAGAATTTTTCTACAAGAATTACCACCATACAACATTTAACGGACAATCAATTGATTTCCATATTGGTATCTGCAGAGCAATCAAGTGCCTTACAAAATCTCTTCCAAAGCTCAAGAAGTTGGTAAATGTAAATATACACGTATGCATAAATATGCATAGCTGTGTGTATGTACAATTATACTATGTATTGATATTTTGCATATAAAATGAAGTTGTTTGATATAACAGTTGATTAGTTTATTCCCACGTAACGCGTCTGCCAAAATCTCGGCATTTAATTATTTAATTTAATATAAATTTAATTTAATTATTATTTTAAAAACATACAAATAAAAGTATATGTGTATATGTGTGTCTGATCACAATTGATACGTATATATATCATTATTTTTTTATAAGTTCCTTTAAGCTACGGATTGATTCGATCGTGTTGAATAAAAGCAAAGCCAACGTGATTTTATATAATATTCTATTGCGCAGGCCTCCCTTCAAGTAAACCGGAAAAGCCCATCGTCACACTAACAAAATAAGTGATGTTATAAGTTGTAAATAATCTGTAGAAAAACTTTACAGATTGTCCCGAATCGAATGTACCTGCATTTTCTCGCTTGTTTCAATTTAAATTTTTCAAACGCTTTATCGCAAGTTAGAAGCGGCTGGCTTGTGTTAAATAGTCTTTGTAGCGATGAAGTATTGCAAATATGTTGTGGCTATAGATTTGAGTCCAAAATTTTACAATTAATTTTTGAAACTCGATATTATTTACAAGCTACGTATCAAATTGTTTTACACAAAAAAGTCTTTCATTTTTCTATCTTAATAGCTTAAATTTGAACTGTTAAGTTTGAACTGTTGCTTTAAATAAAATGAATAATTGAAGCATTTTAAAGAAAGGATCGGAAAAATGTGAAATTGTACAATCCAAAAAAGTATCTAATTTTTAAATAATTTATTACATTACCTTAAGCATAATCCTTATGAGAGACATATTCAAAATTCCTGACATAATTGTAATAATAATTTCATTCAGCGTATTTTTAGACCACATCAGTCTTGTCTTATTATTATAAAAAATTATTTTGCTACATTGGTTGCTCATTGGTTGCTAAGCAACTAAATATTTCATAGAGTTGAATATCGAGTTTCAAAAGACATGTTCTTTATGAAGACGAAGAAATTGAAATTGGTACTAATGTAATGCGCACATTTTAAATTTACATTCGCTTCTATGCACACATACACTTTAGAAATTTTTTAATTTGGGAAGTTATCTCGTTATCTTTCCCAAGTAACATAAGAATTTATTTGGTTAGGTTAAAATTACTCACCGACTTTCTTCAGCGAGTCGAGCGCAATTTGAATCGTCGTAACTCTGCAAAGTCACAAGATCTTCCTTTGGTACACCTTTGACGGTCGCTTTGTACGGCTACTCAACAATGTTCTGTACAGCACACGCGCGAAAGCTATTTTCAACACTCCCGATGAGAGTCATTTCCGTCGAACTAAAAGCACAAACAACGACGAACGCGCGAGCACTTAATTCGACACTCCCGACGAACCGTTTCGCGAGGTGTTCACTTCCAATCGCGGTTTCTTGCCGCGAAACTTACTTTCGGCACCCCCGACGACGAAAACTCACGCGCGAGACGAGGACGCAATGGTGACGATTTCGATTTCGAATCGCCATTATACACTACGAACGCGCGGGGCACTTCGCTCGATCACTTCCGACGGACCGTTTCGTGAGAGACTTTCGATTTCTCGCCACAACGGATGCGCACGATACTTAGTTTTAGGACTGGCGACTTTAGTCTTCTGCGAACTGAACTATTTGCTGGAGGTGCAGAAACGTCCTTTTGGACTCATATCGCCGCTCGAACCATGATCGCCAAGACTGTTTGAACGGCGCGTCGGTTGAGCTACCGGAAGTGTCGAGTGCGCCAAACTTCTCACTCGACACCTCGAGCGACCGTTACGACAAAATTCGCTCTCGGCGATTTCTCAGCGATCTCGGCACAACTGGTGCCCAATAATCCATAAACTTGTTCCCGCCATTCTCGACGCGAGAATCCGCGTTTGAGACGCGTTCGGCAGCTTCGAAGGTGACAAAAAGGACAATGGTCTATCTGCCATAACCGCAATTGCGGTACTTTGCTCGGTACTTTCAAGCGGCCGTTCCGCGACATATTGTCCATGACGACATTTACCAGCATTAGACGAGCAAAAGCTACGAGCTCAGCGCGTTCAATCGCGACAATTCGCGTGCGAGATTCATCGGTAGGCAAGCCAAAACGGCAAGAAATCTCTAACAACTTACCGAATCCAAATTGCCGCGTCGCCATTGCGAGCAGATTCCAAGTGCAGAGACTGTGCAGATAACATTCGCGAATCTCTCGTCGCTAATCCTTATTGATACAATCAGTATGATGAAACTTACTCGACGTAATTTCCGATATAAGATGCTATATGTTATATAAACAATTGTGTTATAACATATTTATACGACATGTAACATCCAAATACGAATTAGTTTCAAAGAAATGAAATCCAAAGGAAACTCAACGCTACCAATCAGACTGACCAATCGGACGGCGCAGGAGCTGTACCGAAAGCGACCAATAGGAGAACGTCATGAGACAGTGCGCTTGCGCGAGATACTTTTTCACGTTACTCCATCCTTCTTCTGTGGGCAGCTGAAAAGTCTCAAATGTCGTATGACTCATCGAACTGCATAATCTCAAGGAAGCAGCAGGAGCTGTATCTCTCGAATCTCTCAAAGCGAAGCTTGGAAAAACGTTTTGCGAATTTGCACCAGAGAGGAGGAATAGATCAACTTTTGCGAATCTCGAATCGGAAGATTATATCGATACTAGGAGCAATCGATGAAGTTGGCAACAATCGAGAGGACAATCGACCCTACAGTCAGAGAAAAAAAGGATCGAACATCTGCATCCCCCCGCATCGAGCGCATACGTGTGCGCATGCGCATTCGCGGCGGACGTAACAGTCGTAAACAAGATTTTTTCTGGTCACCGTTGTTGATTCGGTTTGCACGGCTACGGGGGTTGGACGAGCGTCTCGTGGGGGAGATCTGCCATTCTCTCCCGCGTTTTCACGCTGACCCGCGGAGAACATGAGCTCGACGGCGCCGTCCTGCGCCTCGTGATACGCAATCCCGCAAGGTGAGTTGCTATGTGCTGACGTCACCGGGTCATTCTGGAAGAATCCTGCGAGACAATGGCGGGTACGTATTTACGACGCTACACCCACCGACTATCGTTGTCGTGTACATGATGGTGCATATATGCCTTTCAGATTTGTACGCCAAGTACAACTGCACCTATTGTCAAGAGGACATTGCAGGCCTTCGTGTGAAGTGCATCGAGTGCCCTGAATTCGATCTCTGCTTACAGGTAATTCGTTATTTGAACGCGGAATGGCCGTGCGATATCACGTGTCACCATTCTCCGCCATTCTTTTAGCTCCCTTTGTCCCGCACCTCCGCTCTTTCGTCTTTCTATCATCTTTTTGCCTCCACTCTTTCCTCATTCATCGTTCCTCCATACTTTCCGGGACAGCCTTGCAGGTTTCAAAAGATTTATGTAAAATTTCCATACCAGGGCTTCCCCCTGCCCCCCTGCTTTCCCTCCTATCCCATCCCATCCCATCCCTTGCCACTCCTCTCTCTCTCTCTCTCTCTCTCTCTCTCTCTCCGATCCTGTTCGTAAATCTGTGAATGAAACTACTAATCGATGCAGTACACGTGGACGCACAAGAGTATGAACATGATGCTAATGAACCCTTGAGTCGATTGTAGCTTTGTACTCAAATTTTGTTCGCAGTTAATGATATGAAGCTTTGAATTTAGTTTTATAAATGCTTCAAATTTTATAATATAATATAAATTACATCAGTTATGTATATTATTTACAGTGTTTTTCTTCTGGTGCTGAAATTGGTCAACATAAAAATAATCATGCCTATCAATTTATGGTATGTATCATTTGTGAAAAAAAAGTTTATTTTAGCAAAATACCCTGCAGAAATATCGATATTAAACTTATCTTCCAAAAACTATTCATGTTCTACTGCCATAAATTTTGATGAAAATAAATTATTTTAAATAAAAACTCTTAATTTTCTTCAAAGCTACCATGTGGGTGAAATTTCACCCCATGTGAATTTCTGATCTTATTAAAAAATGTAACCGTACTGATAATACCAATTTTATAGGTATTTATTCATGCTATCAATACTGATAACATTATGATAAAACATTCTTGCGTATACTTTGCAATAAACAATAACAAGAAAAATTAGCTTGGGGTGATGCGTGATGGTAGTAGTTTAAGAATTAAATGTATCTTTATAAATAAAAAACCAAGCTTGATGCTAAAAAAATTTTAATAATGTATCACTGATAATATTATACTATTATCCTGGATAATTTATTTGTTTATCTAGTACTCTAGTCATCCATTTTTTTTATTTATTTAAAAGAACAACTATATTGTTCAGTAGGTTTCAATTAGAATAAACATTAATTTACTATTGTATAAACATAAAAGTCTATTCAAAAGTCTAACAACTTCTGAACTGATACGATAAATTACAATGTGAAGCAAGTACTTTCATACAATCTATCCAACTTCTTGGCCTAGTATGTATGTATTAGTTCAAAAGTTCCTTGAAAATGAATAGACTTAATTATTGCATAGATAAGTCTGGGAAGGTTAATGTAATGCTGATAGTGATACATGTTATTTGCATATTTTTAATATTAAATTTGTAGCAATGTAGGACTAGGATTAAGTGGTTTTTAGTCAATTATTCATATTGACATATATTTGAACACAAACATAGGATTCTGGTACCATCAGTATATTTAATGGCCGTGGGAATTGGACAGCTAAGGAACAGCTTAGGCTGTTGGATGCTATTGAACAATTCGGATTTGGAAATTGGGAAGACATTAGCAAACATATCGAGACACGTACACCAGAAGGTGACTCTATAGATTTGTTTCTTTAAGCGATATTTGGTGTTAATAAAATAAAAACCATAACATAAAACGCTAGCTTTTTATTTTTTCAAAGTATATCGTTATCTATTGAAAAAAAATTTGCTTCTCCACATCTGTGATATAAATATATATTTATTGTTACTGTACTTGCACTAACGCAACTGTTATTTTATGATTTCAGAGGCAAAAGAAGAATACATTGCTAGATATCTCAACGGTAACATTGGGAAACACACATGGCCGCCTACGGAGAGCTATGTACCAAATCTTACAGATCAGACAAAGTCCGACCATGGGCCACTGTCACCTGATCTTACATCAAGATTACCACCGTTAGATATCACTCCAGACGAAGCTGCCCAGTTGGGTTACATGCCGCAACGAGATGATTTTGAAAGAGTAATAGACAAATATACATTTTGGCGAGTCGACATTTTTCCGCGTATGATTCGATAATGATTACTAATGCTCTCTTTATTTTTTTTCTTTTTTCTTTTTTTTTTAATAGGATTACAACCACGAAGCCGAATCTCTTGTTTCTTCGTTATTTCTGAATCCTGCTGAGGACGATGATCTCGATATCGCACTTAAATTAGCACAAGTTGATATGTACACCAATAATTTGAGAGAGAGGGCTAGACGAAAACGCGTCGTGAGGGATTATCAGCTTGTGTCAACATTCTTCGCATCCTCCAGAAAAGATAAAGGAGTAAAAAAGAAACGAACAAAAGAAGAAAAGTACGTTTTATAAGCAATCCTACATTTCTCCTGATATCTGTGGATACTCTATGACAAATAGAAGAGTATTTTCTTTGTTTTTTCACATGTCTAATGTATGCTTTGTTTATTTAGAGAATTTAGGGACAGAATGCGTGTATTCGCACAGTTTTACACAGCACAAGAGCACGAACAGTTCCTAACGAATCTCGAGAGAGAAAGAGAATTGCGTTTACGACTCTCTGAGCTGTACCGATACCGCGAAAACGGCATTACAAGGCACGAGGAGTGCGCTCACTATGAGCAGGTAGTTGCTCAAACTCAGAGACAGAACGACACGGTGGACCATTGGGCAGAGAAAAAATCTGTAAGTGTTCATTTCTATTTAAAATACATAAAATCGCGTTGCAAATAACTGCACGCAAAATAAGCCTTTTTTGTGACACATGTACATATATTGATATATGTACTTATACGTATACTTATATGTACACATTCGTAAAAGCTAGGATGGCTGTCAGATATTAAAAGTTATATTACATATATTTCATTTTCATTTTTTTCTCTTTCTCTCTTTCCTGAGTATACTAACGCATGCTGAAATTGAATGTATGTTTATAATGTATGTCATTGCAAGATACAGATCTCACACATCAGGAACATCAGCAGTAATGAACGATTTATACAGCAATGTTAATGTACTTGTTATCAGTTGTTGCGCGTGCTATATTTATATTTTTTATGTATTTATATGTTGTTATACAAATATACTTGATTGCATCATTGTGTGTATATTTGCACAAAAGTCTCAGTTTTATTTTCACAGTATGTAAAAAGATATTTGGTTTCATAATCGTAAAGTACAACATTACAATAATATAATCTCACTTTATATATCGTTATGTTGTTTCGCTTTGTATTGATAAATTTGTTTTACATATTTCATAGTAATGTCATTGTGATATTGTTGTTGCAACTAATAGCTTTAAGTTAAAATTTAAGCATGTAAGATATAATTATTATTCGCGCGGTAATTTTTTCCACTCAGACATTATTATATGCATATGTTATCTACAGTATGTGTTGTGACGCGATAAAAGTGATGGTATTATGACATTGAAAATTAATTGGAAAAATCGTAATTATTTCACTTTCGATCTTTGCACATTTTTTATATATTCATATGTAAAATAACGATAAAAGTTTAATACCTATTAATTATATCATATGTATATATATATATATATATATATATATATATACGTATATATATATACACTAGCTTTTGCCTCTCGTTTTAACTAATTCCATTGTTTGTGGTGCGTGTTGCCAGGCATTTGTGAACAGATTGTATCAGTTTGCATTTCACTTAGGGCAGCAGTGGGCCGTCCACACCAATACATCGCCACACCTCAAAAAGAAGGTGAGATAACGTCTCGAGATTTTAAAAATATTACATTTCGTTCCTCACATACGATTTTCGTCACATATCGTTACATACGTCTCACTACCACGTATTGATCAAAAAATTTTTAACACTTTTGTCATTGCCGTTAAACATTGCTGTATAAAGTTCCCGTTTGAATTGCGCATGCAACCTCGTTACGATAATGTTACTTATTGTTCAGACACTCTTGAACTCTACATGTTAGGCCCTTTGTTAAGTAGCCTGTAGGCAAAGGACACAAGAATTGCCCTCGTATTTTTGCCTTTTCTTTCTGTCCTTTAAAGAGAAGAAGAAAAAAGTTACTCTTCCATCGACCGAAAGTACACTGTAAAGCAAGAATTGCCCAGCAACTCCGCGGTCAATCCAACCAGTCACAATCGGACGACGACTCCGGTCACTCAATTGGCGGACACGGATAGCAATCCAAACACTTCCAACCAACACTCTACCAGCAGCTCCAGTTCCACACAAGAAAAAGGTTACAACAACGGCGCCACTGCCTCTTCCGGCAAGTCCTATCCGACTTCAACAGACTCCTCGCAAGAACGGGACATAGAATCGGAGGCTGCGTCTCATCTCTTGACGAAACAAGAGAAATCACTATGCATACAACTCGATCTAAAGCCGACTCAATATTTGACGCAAAAGACATTGCTATTGCAGGTGAGAGTAACGAACTTTGACTGTGACCGTCGTTAAACGTTTGCAACGTCTCATCTAGCATCTAGCTTCACGTCGATATTTATGTGTCTTCACGTTGCAGGAATATTTGAATGGTAACAGAAGGTCGAGCATCGTGCCGCAGTCAGAGCCGGAAAGCAGGATTCTCCATTATCTTGTAACCAACGGTTGGATCGCCGCCAATTGATTGATAAACGCGTGGCACTTCATTTTTACCATTTTTTCCACTCTAAGTCATCTCTTCTAATCCTATAAGACAAATTCTAGATGTAACTAGAGTTGAAGTCTGATGTAATTAACATATAGGGCAGATAGGCAGAGGAAGAAGCGGGCAAGAATGCAAACGTGCTTAGCATATCATTATGCTTTAATCAATATTCCTTTTTACGCGATATCCTAGGTGGCTTGCATCACGTGATTTGTCATGCTAGTGGACAATGCTTGATCTTTCCTCCGAGATCCGTTCACGCTCGGGCGCCAATTGCGATTTGTGCCTGATTTCACGTTCATGATGAATCCCCGACGATTCGTTCGAAATCGATTCTAGCGACAGCGACACCAATCAGCCAACCAGAGTTTTTTAAACTGACCGGTGTTTTATATTTTCTTTTATGTGACCGCCTTTTTTCTCCTTATACACAAGACACTATACAGCACAGATTGTGATAGAGACAGCTCAGTCTGATTGCTGCTAGAGATATCAATTGATGTCGTTAGAATTGATCCTCAGGATATTGTATTTTATTTTATCGTTTCCGAACGACTCAACGCCGCTTAAGAGAATCTCTTAACACTGCCTACGTAGAGAGCCATTGAATATATTGCTCAATTAATTCTTCCACTACATTATCTCCGTATACAGATTATGTCTGTCGCGAGGACTCCCTTTCTGCCTGTTTGAAGTGTTGTCTGTTACCATGCCTGACAATAAGGAAATATTGAAATTTCTCAACATGCCCCATCTGTCAGAATTACGGTACAGGAACCAAAATAACGTACCAAAACGCGTCCGGGCTTCTTGGATTCTTCTAGTTGCGATCGACGCTGAAAATAACTGATAACAAAAATACTGATTACTTTATCACTATAGGTAGATGTGCATCGCTATTTAATTTATTGACATGTACACTCTGAGGATTAGCACAGGTTGCGTGCGTTAATGACAGGCTAAAGTAGAGAAGAAACTTACCGGAACAACCGATAAATCGACTGACAATCCGTGTAATTAAAATATGTTTATTGCGCGTATCGTGTAAATGATCAACATGTAACTACAACGGCGTAGCTATATGATTGCATACGTAAAGACATTACGTATACGTTATCCTATAGTTTGAGAACTCGCGAATTATAGACGGTTCTTATTGACGAGGAATGGGATAAATACCGTTATACGCATTCAGCATCGATGATACGAGAGGTGTATGATATCAGGTGATTTATCCGTTGCCTATGTAGATTTTGTATATACGAGAGACAAGTACGAAGCGATAACGCCTAAAGCCTGATCTACAATATGCTCCTGCTTCCTGTTTTCTATACTCTTTATCTTTTTTCTATTTGGAGACATAAAAAGAGATAAAAGGAAAGAAACAAAAAAAAAACAAAGGCATATTATAGATGACGCTTTAGCGAACGACCTTGTGCTTGCTTGCGAAGCACAAGGAATCACGACTTGCACGACGTGTCTAGTGTTGTCACTTTTCTCCGCAGAGATAAGGGCACGCGCGAAGGTGAATTGCTCCAAAATAAAATGAAAAGAAAGAAGAAAAAGGAAAATGCACCTTTAGTCAAGCGGAGGGAGCGGGGGGAGTGTTAAGTTTTACGAAAGTTTTCTCGTTGATGAGCCACAGTCTCTTTTTTTTTTTCTTTTGTTTTTTCTTTTTTCCTCTTTCTTTTTATCTCTCCGTAGTGCACGAGGAGTGATCGGTGGCGATTGCGTAATTTCTCACGAGAAGTTCGTTTTCAGGTTACATTTACTTATATAATAACGCTGTAGAAAATAAGAGACGCGCGCGTGGCGACGTAATTTTTAAGTAATATGTTGATAATATTTATGTTGGTCCTTCCTTCGGTATCTTCACGCTTAGTGAATCCGTATGATGTAACTTGTTAGGTGGAAGTGCGTCAAAGTTTATCCTTATAGATGATCCCCCACGACGATGTAAATACGCGAAAGCAGCCTATCTGTACATAATGTGGATCGCGTGCGAGCAGGTGACAAATTCGACACATACCGGGATCTTTCGTTGAGGATACAACATTGTGTATAGTCGGGCGACGCCAACACGCAAAACGGCTCGCTCATATTTTGTATAGATAATAAAAAGATACCTCTCCGTTTATTCGACTCCATTTGACGACGTAGTTCACATTGCATTGTCAACGGCTTCCTCCCGCGCGCGTTCGAAGTAAGCGAAGATCGTGCGTTGGAAAGCTTGCGTTTGCGACGTGTGCATAAAGTGTATCGATATCGTACCTTAGCTGTAAGTTACGACATCGCAAGATACGCCCTCTAAGCGCGTTCTCAGGAGAAGATTTTGGTCGAACGACACGGCGCGCAGCCGGTAGAGAGAAGGTCGCGCGGCGCTGTTTATCCGGATGAACTTTCGAAGGCATCCGCGATATGCAGCAGCAAAATGTATATCGTTTAAAAGAGATTCCGATTCTTCGTCAAAAGGCTGCAACGGCTGCGAGTCGCACCGATGAATTATCTCTGCACGCGACATCCGACACCGTGCGGTGCACGCGTTACGCACATTATTTTCTCAATAGAACAAACAAGCTTTACGATCTACGCGGATTACGATGTACTCGTGCGACGGAAGGGCGCAGGAGAGTCGTCGAATGTGCGAAATAAACTGTGCGATATTTTCAATTAAACATGCGTGCTGATTTGCGTCGCTCTCCACACACGGAGGAAGAAAGATCGCGGCAAAAGCGACGTGACGCAGCGGGCGAATCGAAGGACGACGCGTCGGTTTCGGTCTCGGAAGGAGAGGAAGGGGATCTCTGCTTCCTGCGAGTGTAAAAAAATTCGACTCTACGAAGCACACAGAAATTTGGTTTCACTGATCCGCGGTGTATTTAATCGGATAACAAAATTAACAATCGGATATTTTTTCTGATATTTTTCTCCGTATTCCTTCGGCTAAAACGCGTCGTTCGCCGCCACGTTGACGTTCGACGCCGATCTTTTCTCCCCGTTCTCACCTTCTCGTGTTTCTCGTCCTGTGGATCCGAGAAAGGAGTGAGTCCCCTTTCGTGCGTGTGTTTTACATGATGATACAACCGTGTTTTTGATATATTAATAAACATGGCTGAGAATTAATAAATAGCCGTGTAATAATAAAACAACTGGTTTGCTCGCTTGGATCAAGTCGAGTTCATTAACGGCAAATAACGCAATACGGCTCCTCCGTCATAACTTTTTACCCGATGTCCTTCGCGTATACGTTTTTGTCGCCTGTCACTTATAATTCCTCTAATCACGTAATAATGCATTTAGTCACACCGGTGGACGATTCTCCGTACATCCGAGCGCAAAAATTGTTTTTCCCGAATTTCCCCCGCAAACGGCGCACTCTCTCATGGATCCTGCCATGAATTATTCAATTCTCCGTTTCGCCCGATTCCGGATTTATAGTCGATTCTCGAACATGCCACGAATGACCTCGATGTAATATTTTGTAGCATTCATCTATATTAGAAGTCAATGTCACCACAGTTACGTTTTCTGATTTAAATAATTACTAGTTTCGAATTATTCAAATCACGTTTGCGAGAAGCAAGCGACGAAGCGAGGTAAACGACGCTCGGGGAGCTCGTAGAAGAGGATCACTGTTGCGAATGAAACCTGCCTAAAAATCTCGTCTTTTCGCGACGAAAGTAGTACGGATTGAAGAAAGTCCAGAGGATTCTTGATAATTTGTAAAAAATATCGGTCGGGCGGTATAAAATCGTGTACATTTCAGATTTACCTAATTCAACAATTAAGGGGGGGGGGGGAATTACATGCGGTGCAGGCCATTTTCAAAGCTATTTTCACGAATTTTTTTAACAGAAACACTAAGATCAATGGTCTTGAAATTTTCACTGTATATTTATTAATGTCCAAAGTATAAAATAAATTTTATTGAATCACAAGAACCCCGATGCAATTTATAATTATAGATAAAAACGCAGTCGTCCGTTTGCGAGCTCATATGTTTACTGTCGATATAATTCCGGACCTCTCTCTCTCTCTCTCTCTCTCTCTCTCTCTCTCTCTCTCTCTCTCTCTCTCTCTCACTATTCTGAAACCAAAAACAGAAAGATTTTTCAGATACATGGTTGTCATTATAGCCCGTACCAAAATAAAGGCAGTGAAATCAAGTTTGGAAAAATAATGGCTATACAGAGAAAAGGTATTGAAAATGAAGCTTTTTTCAACTTGTAATCATATTTAAAAGAAATGAATAAAATAAAATATATATCTGTGCTCGAGGTAGGGGCGAAAACTACACGTGTATTGTATATTGTGCAAAAGAATTTGAAGTTATTCAGTTCAGCAGTTTTTGCGTAATCGTGTCGACAGTTGAAGAAAATGATGTTTCCAAATAAACCCGTTTAAAGAGTTTCATATGTGCATTTTCCACGTAGATAGTAACAAATTTATTTTATATTTTGAACATTAATAGATACACTGTGAGGATTTCAAGTCTATTGATCCTACCGTTTCTGTCAAAAAAAAATTCCGTAAAAGTAGCCTTGAAAACCTAACCTGCTCCGCGTGTAAAATTCTCCTGTTAAAAGCGTGCGCGCGTGCGCAATGCCACATGGTCATTGGATAAAATCTAAGACGAAGAGCGTGCAATTTGCAATTCCAACCCTGCCGACATCGCGATTATTTTCCGCCGAATGCTTTGCATGCAAATGTAGGGAAACCGAGTGATAAATCTAAACTCCCTCCCCCGGCTCTCTTTGAGGGAAAGGAAGAGGAAACAAAGCGCAGCTTTGCAACATGTTGCAAAGCTGCGCTTTGTTTCGCGGAAAACGGTTTGAGAAATTATGTAGATTAAAACAGCGGCTCGCCGAGCATCATCGCCGAGTGACGACATGAGTCAATCATTTACCGAGCTGTATGCATTTCTTACGAAAAAGTCATTGCGACATGTCATTAAATCGCCATCAACCGTCACCGCGCTCGCGGTATTTCTCGCGGAAGTGCGAAGGTGAAGGTGCCGATCGACGAGGTGAATTTCATAGAATGAATTCGTAGCGTTCCCACCTCGACACGCATCGGCCGCGAGCGACGTGCTGCTGCGTCGATTCATCCGTATATAAAGACAGGTGTCGCGGCTTCTGCTCGTACAATTCATTGCATCTGGTGGTGAATAACGCGCGCGCTTAGGTGAGCATCCGCGATTTGCGCCGCGATCGCGTTTGATGAAAGCACCGGACCCAGTCGCGATTTCTCGCACTCGCACTCGTGACTTTCTGTGTGTTACACAGAAATGAGATCTCTCTTGTCCGCGGCGCGATCCGACAGCCGTTCGAATTCGAATCCAGGTCCGTCGATTTTCGCGCGATCGCGCCCTCGAAATGTTTCCACTTCCGCTTCTTCGAAATTTCCATCAAAGGGACCTGGCAACCTGCCGCCAGACAGTAACTTGAGTAGCTTGATGGACGTTCGCGGGTCATGAGGGAACTAACTTGTCGTTTCGCGACAAAACTGCGAGATGCGAACATCGCGATACTCCTTGCGACACATCGCCATTTGTCCAATTGTGATCTCCGACACTTCGTGCATGTTGTTGCAGCCATGAAGTTCGCACTGGTATGCCTGCTCGCCCTCGTCACTGTCGTCTATGTGTCTGCAAAGCCACAAGGATACACGACTAAGTATGACAACATAGACGTAGAACAAATTCTGCACAACGATCGACTGCTCCAACGTTATGTCGATTGCATGCTGGACAAAGTCGGGGTCAGGTGCCCTCCTGAAGCCATTGAGCTGAAAAGTAAGTGGAAACGAGAAAAACGTGTCTTTGTAGCAAAATTTTCGTCGCACTCAATAAACAGATGATCATCATCTTATTAATATGTAGCAAATGTACAATTTTTGTATAGTGGATAATATTATCGATATTTATTTTATTGGTATTAATATTTAATGCTCATTCAGTTTATTCATTTGGTTTGTATAAATACACTTTGCGTATTTAGTACACGTATTTAGTTTTATTTATTATACACTTATCGACCTTTGGAAATTTCAAAATTATTAAATTAACAAAAGTTAGGGCACTATTGCAGTGATATATTCTTGATGGTAAATAAAGTAAAAAAGTCTAATACTATTTTTGCTTTCGACGAATAGCGAGATTAGCGAGATATCGTAAGTTAAATGTTGAAAAAGTTACCAAGTTTTTCTTAAATATTTCAAAAAATATTAGGCAAATAAAAAATGTTTCAGACAAAAGCTGTTAAAATTAATTGGTAGAAAAAGAAGATATAATAAAAATTTGGGCTTTCTATTTTAAAAAATTGAGTTGACCTTCAAACTTGAAAATGCCCTCCAAATAAAAAACTGATAATATCATTCTTTTTCCCCTTCGAAATCATGGAACACGTGTTTTAGCTTTTTTTAATATCTTTCATAGTTTTCGAGTTTTTTTACCTGTTACGTCTGAAATTTAGCACCCTGTATATGTATATATATATAGTATATTTATACAAACCAAATGAATAAGTTGAATAAATACCAAATACTAATATCTATAAAAAAAATATTAATATTATAGTATTGTTCACTATACAAAAATTACACATTTGCTAAATATTAATAAAATTGTATATATATATATATATATATATACATATATATGTGTGTGTGTGTGTGTCCGGGATCTTTTAGAAACGAAAAATTATGAAGATTCAATCAAATCAAACTGAAAAGAAAAGTCATATATCATTTAGCAAAAATCGCTGTAGTCATTAAGTTATTAATGATTGAAAATGTTAAAGGACATCTTGTTCAAAATGACCTAATTTACGATTATACGACGGCTAGCGATAGATAAAATATATTGAACTTTGAACTCTGAGTCTTGGATCTGTCGCTAGGTACAGTAGCCGTCATATAATTATAGCTTGAGTCAATCTAAACAAAAAAGTTCCTTATCGTTTTGCAAATGAATATGCAAATTTTCAAGTTACGAATTAAAAGAGTCTCTAGATGTGATCATTTTCAATCTTTCAATTCTATTAACAACTTACTAACTATTGCGATTTTTGCAAAATGGTACTTGACTCTTCTTCTCAGTTTCATCTGATTAATCTTCACAACTTTTCCAAAAGACACCCTCGGACACCCTGTATATCCCTGTATATCTTAATTTAATTATGTTACTTGATCCGTTAATATGAATATTTAGCGAATAATTTTAGCGTAACGACTTGCTCATTTCCGTTGCAGAGGTCTTATCTGACGCGTTAGATACTGAATGTAACAAGTGCAACGATCGGCAGAAGGAGGTTGCGAAGAAGGCGATAAGGTTCTTAATAGAGAACAAGCCGGACACATGGAAGGAGCTCAAGGCGAAATACGATCCGGAAGGGAAGTACGTAAAGAAGTACGAGAAGCTAGCCGAAGAAGAGAAAATTAAGTTTTAGCTGACGCTGGAGGGAAACGAAGATAATGTCGCGGCTACTATTAATGCAGCAGATGTCTTATCCTGTACCTCTATAACCGACGATAATTGATATGTAACACGCGTATGCAAATAAAACAACGCATGCGGCAAAACACATACACCTACCTACACACACACGTGCGTTCCAAACGCGTTCGTCGCCGAGATTGCATTTCGCGTTACCGCGATCCGTCCGTCCACCGGTCGATCTACGTAAATCAGATGTTTATCCCGATTACACATCAGCGCTGTGGCATGTGACTGAGCTCCGATGAAAATGTAAATAGCCGTCGAGTGGAAGATTTACTCTGCGGCAACGCTGCGCGGCAAAAACATCGGCTTCGCGATCTTTGGACCGTCGTTGTATGCTGATAGTGAATCGTCACTTTGGTCGATCCATGATCTATGGATCGTCGGCGTCGCCACGTAACTGTTTCATAAACGAGTACCTTGAGCACACGACGACGGCGAAACGCGGTCAGCCTATCGATGATGAACTGCGTAAGAGATTCAGCCTAGCTTGTAAACTTGACTTGCGGTCGCTTCCTTTGTGGGCTTGAGGTTTCACTGAAGTTTTCGGTTTCCTTTGGTTTCTTCTTTTTTCTTTCTTTCGGTTTCTCTTTCAACGTGTTTCGACGTCGACTGCTTGGGAAGAATCACCGGTACCGCTATTATTGCGTCTCATTAATTTATATGTGTATAATTAATGCGCAAAACGTACTCTCCCTCCTTCTCATTGTGCATAAAAATTAAGAGATACAACTAATAAAGAACGAATGAAACGAGCCTTCGTTTATCTCTTTAACCTTTATTTCTGAGTACCGAGAATTAAGACTTCAGTCGAACATTGAAGCGAAGGTCAACATGGCGGCCAATGCGTTAACGCGGGGTCGAACTCGAGGCTCGACAGGCTCGACAGGCTGCGTGGAAGCTTCAGTGAAGAAAAGCGCCGTATTCCTCCGCGTCGTCGTCCGTCTCGTCCTCAAGGTCCGCGCAGGCATAGCAGATCTCGCCGACGTCGCGCCAGCACTCAGGACAGTGGACGAAGGGACACCCGGGTGCGTTGACGCACTCGCGGAGTTCCGGGCCCTTCCTCGGCTCGACCTCGCCGCAGACGAGGCACCTGCGACGCGCCGAGGCGAAGATCACCAGCCAGCCGCAGAGCGCCGGCCAGCGCTGCCTCAGGGCGACCCACGGGTCCAAGTGGTACTCCAACCGACGCGTCCTCGCCAGGGCCCTGACCTTGGCGCGCATGAACCTGGCGTGGCCAAGTCTGCGCCTCAGGCTCTCGTTGTAGAGATAGAGCACCCGTCTCTTCTCGCGCCTCCGGTAGAAGAACGAGCAGATGACGCGCCGCAGTCGCTGGGTGTACGCGCTGGTGAAGAGCAGCACGAACACGCCCAGGTAGCTGGAGTAGATCTTGAAGACCACGCGACGCGGCAGCTCGCTGGGCCGCGGCAAGCAGGCGCTGTTCGACACCACTGTCTTCACCCGCTTCTTCACGTTGAAGCCGCGCACCAAGCTACGGATCAGGGAGGCGATCATGCCGGTGCCGCGGATCTCCAGGTTCACGTCGTGGTGGCCTGCCTGGAGAAATCGAGTCCGTGGTCCGTGCCAGTCTCGCGAGGAAACGCATGAAGATACCCCTCGGTAATTTTCCTTTGGGTCTCGGACACGTCGTAGAGCAGCTGAAAGTAGCAAAGCTTCTGTTTCGTTTGTGAAGATACATTTTGACGCAAGTTTTTGCGCTTTCTTACAAAGACGTTTGAAGCTACAGATTTATGGTATATTTGAAAATTGTAGACATGCCTTTAACCCTTTGAGGCACAGCGGTAAGTATACTTACCACCTTTATTTATTCTCACATTTTCATGAAATATTTCATATTTGGGGGATTCTTGTCAGGTCTTTTGCATTTCTTTTTTGGCTTTTTATATGACGTGGGAACATACGTGAAAGGTTGAAAAGTGTTTTGCACAAGTTGTCCAGTTATTATAAATAAACAAAGAGTGAAAAATACACATTTTTACAGAAAAAAATCATTTTCTACGAACTATGAATTGAATCTTTTGCTCAGAATCAAGATTTGGGGGTTATTTGGGTCGCTGATTACGAATCTGAGGTCCAAATGCTAAAATTTATTTTCTAAGATGGCGGATCATAAAATTTTTATATGATTAGCTGAAATTGTACTTTGGTTAGCTTTCAAGGTCACTGATTACGAATCACCGATGTCACCGAAATTATCGCGATTTTTCATATTTGTGGCCGTCATCTTGGACCCGCCATCTTGAATTTCGAATCTGATAACGGATTTGTCATCAGCGACCCCAGAGACCTCCGTGTATAAATTTTCATGTGATTCGGATTTTCTGGAAAATACGTGCCTCAAATGATTAAAAGAAGAAGAAGAAGCTGTTGCAATTTGCTGTTAGACGTCAATCTCAAATTTACCCGCGTCTTTCTTCAGGTGCTCCGAAACGTAGCCCAAAGCCCAAAGAACCGGGAAGAGACTCTCTTCCATGCGCTCCCTCATGCGCGTCAGTCTTGTCAGTCCGTTTTCGTCCGGGAGAAGACGAAAGCTGAAGAGCACAGCAAGTTCCCGACGAGAGAGACATGGCACATGTGAGTACTTGTGAAAAGTATCCTGGAACGATCTAGAGTAATCTCATATTTTTACTACTCCTGTAGCGTCGGGAGATAGTTGCCTGGGTATACTCCATGTAAGAGTGTCTTCTGATCAAGTCGAGCGTCTCGTAGAACAGTCTGTCCATCAGCAGGAACGTCGTGACACTTATCACCTCGAGGGTCAGTTTCACCGCTTGCGCGGCCAAGTGCACCCGCTCGACCTTGCTCGGCCGCAGGCTGTACGGGTCCACGAACTTCGATCTCTCCATCTTCTTCAGGGGCAGCAGAGTCAAGCTACCCCGGGCCTTTCTCCTGGCGTCGATCTTGCGGAAGTACGACGTCACGTACACGTTGTCGTGCTCGATCTCGGTCAGGTACTTGTCGTGGTACGATTGAGCGCTCAGGATGATCCTCAGGAACACGAGAGACAGACATCTGCGGAGGTACACAAAAGCGCGCTTCATTGAAGTCCTTTTTCCGTGATTCTAATTTATCTAGTCTATCTCGAGTCTTTGCGAGATCGAAATTTCGAATAAGTGCGATTGAAAATAGCCATACGAGCAAGCTTGTATTAGGTAAATCGGAAAGTTCCGTCCGTTTAGCGACAGCTAAGTGGCTACAGCTAGAACTGTCGTTCACCTGTAATGTCTAAACGAAGCTTAATAGTTTGTTTTGACAACTGTCAATAACATTCAGTACATAAAAGTATACGTTTGCATCAATAACATTGTTTTTCGATCGCTGCATCGAAAATGTCGGAATTTGAGCCAAATAAGCGTCATTTGCGCGAAATGTTAATCTTTTGCTTCAATTGGAAGGAAGCTGCAGCTGAAGCTCGTCGAATGCTTGTAGAAGTTTACGGTGATAATGCTCCTTCCGATAAAACATGCAGAGAATGGTTTAAAAGTGGTGATTTTGATGTAGAGGACAAAGAGCGTTCTGGACGGCCAAAAGCATTCGAAGACGAAGAATTGCAGGCATTGATGGACGAAGACTCATGTCAAACCCTTGCAAAAGCAACTTGCAGAACTTGCATTAAATTGTGCTCAATCTGTCATTTCCGATCGTTTGTGAGCCTTAGGAAAGGTTACAAGGAAGGAAAGTGGATCCCATATGAACTGAAGCCAAGAGACATTGAAAGGCGAAAAACTACCTGCGAAATTCTGCTCGCTAGGCAACAAAGAAAGGGGTTTTCACAACGTATCATCACTGGGGATGAAAAATGGATTTATTGGGTTATACGGGAATGAAGCCTTGAAAGAAAGGCAGTGTCAAAATTGGTTTGCCAGATTTCGTTCTGGTGATTCTTCATTGAAAAATGCTCAACGATCTGGCCGTCCAGTTGAAGTCGATGAGAGACCCATATCAAGGCCATTATCGATTCAGATCGTCATAGCACAACACGTGATATTGCAGAAAAGCTCAATGTATCGCATGTATGCATTGAAAAAAATTTTAAAAAGCAAATTTATAATTTTGAATTTTCATTCTTATTTAAAATCCGCGATCACTTAGTTGCCAACCCAATATTTTGACAATCCCAAACGTCGAAGAATTGCGATCCCGGCCAAGCCTCAACATCGACGCCAAAGCGGAATATCCACGGAAAGAAGTCAATGCTCTGTATTTGGTGGGATCAGAAGGGTGTGTGCTGTACCATGAACTGTTGAAAAGTGATCAAACAGTCACAGGGGATCTTTGTAGAGAACAAATGATCCGTTTGAGCCGAGCATTGCACGAAAAACGACGAGAATATGAAACGAGACAGTATAAAGTGCTTTTGCTTCATGACAACGCTCAGCCTCACGTCACAAGATCTGTGAAGGAAACGTCAGAAGCACTTCGCTGGGAAGTGTTACCCCATGCGGCTTATTCACCAGACTGTGCCCCTTCCGACTACCACTTGTTTCGGTCGATGGCACACGCACTTGCTGACGAATGCTTCAATTCTTATGTAAACGTCGAAAAATGGCTCTCTGACTGGACAGCCACCAAAGATGAGTCATTCTTTCGCCGCGGAATTCGCTTGCTGACCGAAAGATGGGAAAAAGTCGTCGCTAACGATGGACAATACTTTGATCGATGTACTGTTTCATTTCGTTTCTCAAATAAAGCCATACGTTCTGCACGCGAAAACGCATGGTACTTTCCGATTGACCTGATAGATTCAGTTAATTATACCCGAATGACTCTGTAAGAATCTTATTAAACAACTTAAGAAGACGCGGCAACATTTCGTTATGCCGATCGCTGCTGACCACCGCGGTTTCTGGAATTAGCGGACAGACATCGAGATTTCGAAACGATTCGAGCACTTAATTTAGATGCAAAATGCAGCCGATGGCCTCATGAGAAAACTTGTTTCTAAAATATCTCCCGAGGTTAAGTTCGCTCTCATTGAACACAACCAAGTCCAAATGTTGAAATCCAGCGCGCGATACCTCTTGATGACTGTCATGATCGATTCAAGGACGTTCCTGCGCACGTTGAAGTCGTGCATCACGGCCAGCGCAACATCCGTAGCGTCATGTAGGTCAAGGATTACCGGCGGCTTCTCGATTTTGTATTGCAGCTTCGCTTCCTTGAGGCTCTTGCCGAACGTATCCCTGGCACCTTCACGAAGCAGACAATATATTCGGGAATGTCGCGAACTCAACGCGATTCCTAACGTTCTCTCAAGCACGCGATCTCAAGTAACTTTTGTTTGTTCACTTTTCAGAGCGACGTAGCCCTCGCCGATGCCGGAGTCCACCTTGCCCTCAGGGTCGCAGATGTTGCCGCCGCCCAGAGCCTGCACCAGGTTACACACGAAGGTGAGTTTCATCGGCCAGCACAGCAGCCAGGCCGCGAAGACCGACACCTTATCGTAACACTTGTCGTAAGCGTCGGCGAACATATCCCTGAAAATCGCCAGTATGCACCATCTCTCTATGCAGGCAGCAATTTAAAATCGAGGTTCTTCATTGTTTAGCATCGCTTCCATCTCGTCACCTTGATTCTGTTATTACTCTCTGCGTCATTCGTCATTATATCAGGTGTACAAATGAATAATCCAAATTTATCAGCTAAAATCAAGCTTTACTTTAAAAGAAAGTAAAACAAATTTGTCAATCAAAGTATTCGCCATTGTCCCTTATAACTTTAAGCCATCTTCCAAGCAGCTGATGAATTCCATGTCGGAAGAATGTAGTGTCCTTGGACACACGATAAAGTCGTGTCAAGACATTTTCGAATCTCATCCACCGATTTCAAGTGCGTGCCGGACAAGGTATGTTGCATCGATCGGAACAAGTGGTAGTCGGTAGGAGTGATGCCTGATGAATATACGTCGAGTCCCAGCCAAGACCCATTATGATGTCGCTTTTGTCGTTAGAAGCAACGTGTGACTTAGCGTTATCACGCAACAATTACGCAGGACAACAATTTCTCCTTTGCCACTATATGAGCGTTTTCGTTCTAATTCTTGACTCAAATGGATTAATTGGTGTTGGTAGCAGTCCGCAGTAATTGTTTCATTCGGTTCTAATAGCCCATAATAAATCACGCCTCTCATATCCCACCGAATGCAGAGTAGAATCTTCTTTCCGAAGTGTTCTTTGGCTTTGCAGCCGATGTTGATGGTTCGTCGGGATTTATCCATGACTTTCTGCGTTCCGGATTGTCATAGAGTATCCGCTTCTCATCGCCTGTAGCAAATTTCCACAAGAAAGACCCTTTCTACGCTGCTTATTGAGAAGAGAAAGACCCACTGCCACTCGTTGATTTCTTTGGCTTCAGTGAGTTTATGCGGAACCCATTTTCCTTCTTTCTGAATCATCCCCATCTCGAGTAGGCGTTTGCAAATACGTAGTTTGTTGCGTTACTCCTAACTGCTCTGCAAGCTCTTTTAGCGTCTGTGTTGAATTCTCAGCGAGCAGTTGCTCCAAATCATTGTTGCCGCATTTCCGAGGGTCTTCAGGACGTTCCTTGTCATTCAGACTGAAATCGCCGCCGCTTTTAAACCGTCTAAATCAAAATACACACATATTGCACGATCGCCGAGAAAGGAACAAATCGTTTCGCATGCTCTTGCAGCATTTTTTCCTTGTTGGAATTCGTAAAGAATGCAGCGTCGATAGATATGCACCTCATGTGTTGCCATTTTTGACTATACCGAACTGATTAATTTTTGAGGTTATATTAAGCCTTCCGTCCATATTAAATGTAATATTTAATAGCTATATGTCAACACATGTCTGTGTAACCGTAAAAGAGCGAGAAAATTTAATTATTTGAAACTTAATTTCTTAACCGCTTAAAGAAGTTTGGATTATTCGTTTGTACACCTAATATTTAGATTAAACGTTATGTAACAGCAATAATAATTATTGTTATCGTTATCTTTGGAATAATTCCAATTCTCGGTGTCCTGCCTGCATCGTTCCGCGCCGCGACTAAGCTGCTCTTCGCAGCGTGCCTCGATCTTCCTCTTGTACTTCGCCTCGTAAACATCCGCCTCAGACTTGGCCTTCGCGATCTCTTTCTCATGTTTCTCCTCGATCTCGTCGCTCCTCTTGGTATCATCCTGAAGCTCGTCCAAATAATCGTTCTCCTCTTTCAATCGCCTCATCTCCTCCTCGCCCTCGATTTCCTCGACTATCGGGCTCATCAGATCTCTCACCGAAGATAAAATATCCTTTAGCTCGCTCGCGTCCGCTTTCATGGCCAACACCGCCTGCGTCGGTATACGGGAGTTTTGATGAAGCCCGACGTCGCCGTGATTGCGCATCGGCCCCGAGCCACAAGTTTGTCACGCGGATAACATTTCTCCGTCGATGACGTATTATTCGAATGACTGAATAACCGAGCTCGCCGTAGCTCGGAAAAGCTTAGATTTCTCATTGCGTTCCCCATTCGTGACTGCAAGACTCATGCGTCCGTTTTAGAGCGGATGATACCTGCTGGAACGGCTCAAACATGAGGTCGTAGCGCGTCTTGGTGAGATTGTACGTGAGCTGCGTCGTGCAAGCGAAAGTTCTCACCACCTCTTTGCCGTTGTACGTTAGATTGAATAACGGGCCCGCTATTACGTATCCCAGGACGAGCGCTCTCAGGACGTTGCGCCCGGATCGGCCGAGGAAAGTCGGGATCGTCAAGAGGCAGATGCATCTCACCTATTCGAGAGGACGAAACACGTCGATTTGAACATTCCGAGGCGAGGAAAGAGCGACAGGCGACTCGCGAAGGAAAAAATGTCCGGAGGAGAACAAGCAATTTGAAAAATCTATCGTTGTTCACGCTTCACATTTTTTTTTGTAATCTCCTCTGAAGGACCTTCTTGTCACTTTGTTGGCCGCCCCGCGGGCGGAAGTGCTTCGTGGTTAATCGGCCGTTAATCGCCGTGGTTGCGGTGTTAAAAGCCGCAGCTCGCGGCCGAGATTACCTGCATCGACGCGGCGCATCCTATCGATAGCATCGCGACGAGGAGGGCTCCCAGGATGGCGCTGGTGTACATATCGAATTGTAGATCGACGATTATGCCCTCGTAGAGCGCGACAGCTGCGCCGAGTCCGAAGAGAAATCCGACGAAGGCCCTCGCTTTCCGATGAGTGCCGATCGGGTCGTAGCAGATGTGGAAGAGGGTTGGACACTTCTTCAGATAATATTTCAGAAAATCCCTCCGCGCTTCCTCGATCAGCCGGCCGCAGCGATTAATCCGCTCCAGCCCGGGCATAGCGCGCTTCCTTCCTTTCTTTCTTCCTTCCTTCCTTTCTTTCCTTCTCTCTTCCCGCCTCGTTTCTTTTTCTCCTCCTCTTGCTCGCGAGATCCACGAGTCCTCGTTAAATAAGCTACTTTGTCGCGGATTATGAAACGCGAGAGAGATTCGCGAGAGAGGAACTCCCCCACGGGAAACTCTTTCGGGGTTAGTCCCTGAAGTGAGGCTCTGAATATGGGCGAGTGTTGTGTACGTACATCGTCGCGATTCGTCGAGCTTCACCACGCACGGCGGTTACATGTACGATGCACGTTGCCGCTACTCGAAAAAAATAGGATATAATGATGATTATTGCTGAAAATTGCGACGCGACGGCGATTACGCGGGGGAATTTCCGCGAATCCATCCTGCGGCCCGCGACGCGACGTCACGATTACTTAGTAATTTAGACGAGGACGACGATGCTTCGAGGAATTTACATTTATGCATTAAAGAGGTTTTCCTTTCGAGAACGTATAACGGGTATAACGAGTGAGTGAAGCCGGCGTCTTTTTTACACGAGTCCTCCGCGACGTCGAAGGTCGCGTCGCGTAACGCGCAACGTGCGCGGAATACGAGAAAGGAACTGGAGCGCGAAGAGAATTCCTCGCACGCGTGGCGCGTCGATTCTTCGGCCGCCCGACGCGGCGAGTTTTCCCGTTTGCACGTTTTTCTGCACTCGAGCACAAATCGCTTGCAATAGGAATAGAACTGAGAACATGTTTACGCGAGATCGAAGGGACACGCTGCGAATCCAGAATTTTCCCCCGAACTCTGATGCTCCATTCTTTCCATTTGGATTTTGAGTCGCGGTCGCGCGATTACTTCTGAAATGGCACGATGTCCTTCGCCGAGCGCGCGCTTCTTTAATTTTCCTACAACGAGCGAGCTTTCTCAAAATATTAGGTGAAAAAAAATGAATAATCCAAACTTTTTTAAACGGCTAAGAATATAACTTTCGAATAATTAAATTTCCCCCGCTCTTTTACGGTTATGTAGTGTTGACATATAGCTATTAAAAATTACATTTAATATGGACGGAAGGCTTAATATGACCTCAAAAATTAATCAGTTCGATATAGTCAAAAATGGCAACACATGAGGTGCATATCTATCGACGCTGCATTCTTTACGAATTCCAACAAGGAAAAAGTGTTGCAAGAGCATGCGAATCGATTTGTTCCTTTCTCGGCGATCGTGCAATATGTGTGTATTTTGATTTAGACGGTTTAAAAGCGGCGGCGATTTCAGTCTGAATGACAAGGAACGTCCTGAAGACCCTCGGAAATGCGGCAACAATGATTTGGAGCAACTGCTCGCTGAGAATTCAACACAGACGCTAAAAGAGCTTGCAGAGCAATTAGGAGTAACGCAACAAACTACGTATTTGCAAACGCCTACTCGAGATGGGGATGATTCAGAAAGAAGGAAAATGGGTTCCGCGTAAACTCACTGAAGCCAAAGAAATCAACGAGTGGCAGTGGGTCTTTCTCTTCTCAATAAGCAGCGTAGAAAGGGTCTTTCTTATGGAAATTTGCTACGGGCGATGAGAAGCGGATACTCTATGACAATCCGGAACGCAGAAAGTCATGGATAAATCCCGACGAACCATCAACATCGGCTGCAAAGCCAAAGAACACTTCGGAAAGAAGATTCTACTCTGCATTCGGTGGGATATGAGAGGCGTGATTTATTATGGGCTATTAGAACCGAATGAAACAATTACTGCGGACTGCTACCAACACCAATTAATCCATTTGAGTCAAGAATTAGAACGAAAACGCTCATATAGTGGCAAAGGAGAAATTGTTGTCCTGCGTAATTGTTGCGTGATAACGCTAAGTCACACGTTGCTTCTAACGACAAAAGCGACATCATAATGGGTCTTGGCTGGGACTCGACGTATATTCATCAGGCATCACTCCTACCGATTACCACTTGTTCCGGTCGATGCAACATACCTTGTCCGACACGCACTTGAAATCGGTGGATGAGATTCGAAAATGTCTTGACGCGACTTTATCGTGTGTCCAAGGACACAACATTTTTCCGACATGGAATTTATCAGCTGCTTGGAAGGATGGCTTAAAGTTATAGGAATCAACGGCGAATTTTTTCTTTGATTGACAAATTTATTTTATTTTCTTTTAAAATAAACCTCGAATTTAGCTGAAAAATTGCGATTATTCATTTGTATACCTGATATCACATCTTAGAAAAGAAAAAAAATCCTGTCTTTCTTCGGGCAATTTCTAGAATCTCGTGCTGGCTCGAAGGAGCGGGAAAACTTGCAGCGCGCTCGGTCTGTCCGCACAGGAAGCGCCCTCCTCTCCTCTCCGTCGTCGTGCGCGATATTTTCTTTGATAAATTATGGCAATCGTTGATCGCACGAGGACGATTTCGTGCGACTAACGAACCGTATCATGCCCCTTATAAGACATCCAAACTAACGAGCTCCACGAGCAGTGAATCGCTAGTAACGCATCGATCTCCTGCAGGAGGATGGGGTACTTAGCCGTCGCGCTTCTCACCGTGTGCGTCCTTTCCTCTCCCGTCGTTCTCGCCGACAACAAGGGACAGTACACCACGAAATTCGACAATGTGGACGTGGACGCGATCATAAGCAGCGAGCGGCTGCTCAACGGATACGTGGGCTGCCTGCTCGAACGAAATCCTTGCACTCCGGACGCGGCGGAACTCAAAAGTGAGTAACGTCGTTACGAAGAACGTTACGAGCCCGCTCGTTAAATGTGAAACATCGAAGGCTGCGTAACAGGCTGCGTAACTTTCTGTTTGAGACGTTCTTCAGGAACTGCTCTATCTGGCTCTTTGGGGCATTTATTTTTCCCTCGAGGTATCCTGCTGATGAACGCACCGACTAATAGCGTAACATTACATCAGTATTTAACCTCCGATTGAGAAAACTTGTATTCTTATCTTGTACATATATTAATGGACGTTGCCTTTCTTTTTGTTATTTTTAAAAGGGATTTGCCCTGCAAGTAAATAATTATTACAAGTTTCCACTCGGCAATGTAAGTGTAATATCCCTAGTAGCACGTATTGTTGGGTCCCCAATATTGGCCAATGTAACCCCGATGTAAGTCAATATTGATATAACAATGCTGTGCAATATTGACGATATCTTGTAATTTGATATCTGACCAATATTGGCTGTATATTGGGATACATTGGGCCAATGTGGCGCCAATATAAATCAATATTGGCGATATATTGTAATTTAATGTCTAACCAATATTAGTTGCATATTGGGATACATTGGGCCAATGTAACCCCAATATAAGTCAATATTGGTATAACAATGCTATGCAATATTGACGATATCTTGTAATTTGATATCTAACCAATATTGGCTGTATATTGGGATACGCTGGGCCAATGTAACCCCAATTTATGTCACCGTAGCCAATGTAACACCAATGTAACGCCAATGAAGTGTGCTACTAGAGATAACACATATCGCATATGACAGTTGCGTCGTTGAGTAAGAAATTCTGAGAAGTTTCAATGAGTTGAGGGGTTTGATTTTCAGTCGACGAAAAAAGATATTGATTTGATCAACAAATTACAACATTGACGTAATGTTACAGTTATTTATTTTTTACTGAGAAAGGCCGCGCGTTCGTGGTTTGGTCGACCGAGAGCTAACGTCTCGCTGATCGAAAAATTCGACGGTGATTTGTGACGAAAGGAAATCACCAAGGACAAAGATCGCAAAAGTAGCGAGCACGTTGATTGGCGCTCAGATTTAAACAGCCGGCTGACAATGCTTACGTTCAGCAGAAGAAGCTGCTTTACAACTGCCCGGTCAGAACCACAACGTCGACTCGACGTTGATTCGACGTTGAAATGATCAACGAAACGTTGAATCAACATTATTATAATTCAATCGTCATCGACGTCGAATCAACCTTGTGATTCTGACTGGATGTTATAAAATTCGTGAATCTAATTGACGTATGCTCTTAACCCTTTAACGCCCGACTTTTTTATAAATGTTTTAAGAATAAAATTTGAGTTTCTTTGAATTGAGACTATATAAGTAGTGATAACCGAAAAAATATCAGAATTTTATATTGGTTCTTTTATCGTTCGTTTTTTTTTGTTTATTGGTAAATATCACTTGGATCCTAAAAGGATATACGAAATGAGCAACCTATACAGAGAGAAAAATGAAGGGTAATCTATAGGACATAACTCTGGTGGTCAGTTTGACATTTTTGAGATGAAACTTTACTATATTTGTGAGCGAAGTTTATCATTCAGAGCATCAAGCTTACTATTTCAGAAGAATATCTTATAGATCACCATTTAGATGGTCAATCGTCCTTTCATTTTTCGCCGCAAAAAAAGAGCGCTGTAGAGGTCACCAGGTTTCACGAAAATAGCTTGATTTCTCGATCTTCGTGTCCACCATATTGGATTCGCCATTTTGAATTTCTGTATTCTTTTAATTTCACACTTTGCATCTGAGAAAGCTTCGAAATGTATGAAATCATAACAGATACCAATCTATTCATTTATAGCGCACTTCTAGATGTCAGTAACAATGCTGACTATGCCTACTTGGAATTTGACGAAACACGGTATCATTAAAACTGAGCTAGAGACAGACTAAACCGAATCTACATGCAACCTATATACCGTTTTTCAGAAGAAGAATTCACCTTTACAGTGCAGGTGCAAAGAAAACGGAAATATCTTCTTTTTTCACTAAGTTATGGATTCTTAAATGCGTTTCTGGTAACTACAGTTAGCAGTAGGCGTTTGAGGATTAAATTTGGCTGAATCCAAGGGCATGCACCAATCGGATTCATGAGTTTTGCAACAGTCGCGAAGCAGCTTTCTCTGCTGAACGTGGCCAATGTATTCGCACACAGAGAATCTGCCGGACGCGTTGGAGCACGACTGCGCTGGATGCAGCGAGGCGCAGAAGAACGCGGCCGACAAGATCTCTCACCATTTGATCGACCACAAGCCGGAGGACTGGAGACTGCTGGAGGAGAAGTACGACCCCACCGGGGCGTACCGGCGACGTTACCTGGAGAACAAGTCCAAGGAGGGAGGCAGATTCGACTAGGTCGTCTCTGCCACGTCGTCGAGATGTCGATATCGAGGCTGACCTTGGCTACTCTTTCGGACTCGGATTGCTCGATCTCGTAATCCTCGTCGCACGGCGGCTCTACCTTACGATAACGATTGCGCAACCACGAGACATCCTTGTCTCGAGGAAGGATCGGGCTGGGAAAACGTTTCCAGGTTTCTCCAGCGCGATACTTCCGCGTCGCGATTCGCCTCGCCGAGGCTCTGCCTCGTTGCCTGGAATTTCACTCGATGATCCTTGGGTCCTGCGGGAGAGTCCGTCCGTCAGACGTAATAAACGAGAGGATGCGTCATTGGAGCATAAATATTATCCCGCTAAAGTTCACGTCGGGGAGAATCGAGCTAGAGAGTCTGATCATAGACGCGCGCGCGTCGTTAACCAATTTGTCGTAATCAGTCGTAATTTTGCGCGTGAAG